AACATATGTGGGCAACCTAAGGTTTGTATCCTGGGGACTTTTCCCCTTTGTAGCTTGTGTTTTATGTCACTTTGTCACAAGCTAAAGACATCTGAGATGAGGGAACCTCAGTTAAAGAAAATGCTTCCATAAGATGGAACTGTAGGCAAGCTTGTAGGATATTTTCTTAGTGATTGATGGGAGAGTCCATTATGGGTGATGTCATCTCTGGGCAGGTGGTCCTGGATTCTATAAGAAAGCAGGCTGTTCAGATCATAAGGTGCAAGCCAGTAAGTAGCTCTGCTTTGGCTCCTGCCTTCAGGGTCCTGCCCTGACTTACATCAGTGTTGGATTGCTACCTCGAAGTGTAAGCTATTTCACCCTTTCCTCCCCAAGTTGCTTTGGTCATGGTGTTTCATAACAGCAACAGTTTGGAACCAAATGTATGCAACGGGGCAAGTGGGGGTGTGTGTGGAATTGCAGTAAAGAAACTGACTGACTTTCCTATGACATGGTTAAGGTAGATAAAGAGAACCCCCAGGGGTATCTGGAAGAATCCAGAGCAGAGATAGAAGTAGACTGAACATGGCTGGCTGACTGGGCATAGCCAGGGCTATCTGTGAGACAGGGGAGAGTAAGCAGAGACAGTGAATAGAGAGACGATACTGAGGAGCCGAGAGCAGGGAGAATAGCTGGGTTGTTAGATGGGGCATTAGCGGGGCGGGGCTGGTGCATGCCTTTAGTCCCGGCACTCAGGAGGCAGAGGCAGGAGGACCTCTAATTTGAGGCCAGCTTGGTCTACAGAGTGAGTTCCAGGACAGCCAGGGCTACACAGAGGAATCCTGTCTCGAACCCCACCCCCAGCAAAAAAGAAGGGTGAGTAACTGATGGGTGGGGTGGGGGCTTTGAAACATAGCTGAGGGAGCCTGGAGACTAACGGACCTGGATGTGTTGATAAGTGCCTGATATGCTGACATGTTAATTGGAGGGCCATATGTCATTTTTTTGCTGGAGGTAAGGGGAATGAATGTTTCCTAGACAGGAGTCAGTTTCACAAGTTTCCTGAGGAATGCTGGCTTTTGTCTGATCCCCAAAAATCCTCCCATAGCCCAGGTTCAGCTCGTTTCTGGATCTCTAGACTGTCTTTTGGAGTTTGGGGGATTGGAGTTTCCTTTGGGCCTGACGAAGACATAGCTATAAGACGCTAGCCCCTGCATCCTTAGTACCCTGTTTGGGGGGAGACAGAACTGAGACCCAGGGTAACTTTGGCTAATAATTAAACTACAGATACAGACTATATGAGCACTGGCTTAGGCCGTAGGAACAAGGAAAGGAAAGTTTTAGGGTGCAGGATGGGCCATTGATTTGTTGTTGTTGCATAACCCCGCCCCCTTCTCATGTCTCTGAATCCTCCAAAACTCTTGTCTAAGACAGCTAACAGGTTTGGAAAAAAGCCCATGTTTGAAGGGCAGGAGTCAAGCACTATGTCTGAGTTTGCCTTTGCTATCTAGGTTGTTTTATTCACTTGTTAAAGAATGGTGGAGTAACAGTTTCTAAAATTTAGGCGCTATTGAGTGGCATTTAAGGTAAAGTCAAAAGGCCTGGCGTGGAGCAAAGGTTTGTAACGCTTACGCTCAGCACTCGGGAGACTGAGACAGGAGGATCTCTGCCACTTTGAGGCCAAAATAGTCTATTAATTCAAGTTCCAAATCAACCAGGACAACACAGTCCTTGTCTCAAAAAAAAAATCCCCTCCAAAAAAAATCACAAAGAAAATATTGATAATGTTGTCAGTTGGGTTAAACTCCAGAGCCCGCTGGAGGATCTGGTCCTAAGCTCTGATTTTCTGCCAAGAAATGTGTCTGCGTCCTTCACTAGCGCAGTGAATCCTGGAGTAAAGCTGCCGGCAGCCTCCGGTCGTCATGGAGACGTCGCACGCCCCAGCAGGCTCCTCCTTTCATAGGATCGGGGGCGGGGCACGCGGTGGCGCACGCGCGTTTACGGCGCGGCGTCGCGGTGGTTGCCGGGAGCCAGCGTCCAGCCGCCCGACCAGGAAGTGGAGGGCGGAGCCGGCTCGGCGGCCACAGGCGGGACCCCCCCCCCCCCCGGGCAGGTCGGCGCTGGGCGTGCGCGCGGCGGTGGCTGGGGCCGCGGCCGAGGGGCGGGAGGCAGAGCCACGGTGGGCGGGCGTGCGTGCGTGCGGCCGAGGCGGAGGCCGGGAGGCGGCGCGGGCTGCGGGCGCTGAGGTAGGAGCCACGGCGGCGGGCGAAGCAGCGAGTCACCCGGGGGACTCCGCTGCCCGAGGCGCGACGCGGCTTCCGAGGGGACGCGCGTGGACTCCACGCCGCCGCCGCCGAGCCGTTCTCCAAGCCGAGCACCTCGAAAGCGGCTCTCTTCCAGCCAGCTTTGTCTTTTAGGCCGGAGGTCCATAAGGCAAACTTTTGGCTTGGAAAGCGCGAAGATTCCCGGTGGGCGAGCGGGTTGTGCCGCCTCGGGGCCCCTAAGTTTGTGTTAGCAGCCGAGCGCACCTTGTGTGGAGCAGGGAGGGGACCACGGCGTCCTCTCCACCCCCAGGGTTGCCTCCCTCTCGGCGTCTGCCCTGCCTTTTCTAATGCTCCTGAACTTGAGTTGTGTATTTTCTGCGGAGTCGAGAGGCATTTCGGAACGCTTCGGTCTGTTTCATGGTGCGCCAGCAGAGAAGCCAAAGATAAGAGCAGACAGGCTGGAAGATTGCAGATTCTGGGGTGGGAGGAACTGGGCACTGGAACGTGAAGATTTTTCAGTTTTAGCTTCTCGGTATCTGTGCCCTTTGAAATGTACCAGCTCTCAGTTGGGTATCCTGTTTGGTGGTTTTGGTTGACCGAAGTAATGAAAAGTGGATGTGGGATGTTTCTCTACCACACACACACAGGCACAGATGCTGCAGAAGGAGGAAAAGTTAGCTGGAACACGAAAGAGTAAGCTGCTTGCTCTGGATGCCTTTGTTGGTACCATATAGGTCGCTCTTATTTTAGAGACCTTTGCTAGGGTTCCTGGTCTGGAACAGTTGACCTTGGGTGTGCTTCTGCAGCCCAGGTTTTATTGTTAAAATTAGGGCTAGCACTAATGCCTAGTTTTTCAGAGTTGTGGGAATTATGTACTGTTAAGTTTTTTTGTAAAGTGCAGAGCTTGGATCTGTACTATAAGCATTTTTTTAAAGGCCAGGTTAATCATCTGACCTTACGAAGTAAAATAGAAATGTTCCCTGTTTTACGAGTTGCAGCCTGCCTGTTTCCTGTCTTCTCACTTGGGAATTTTTTCTTATTCCTGTTTTCACACACTTTTCCTCTCCCAACACTCCTAGTTTCCTTACTTGCATATTTATAGTTACTTCTTACCAAATACCACTAGAATAACAATTACTCTTGGAAAAAAACTTTTATAACTACTTCCTCACTTTTGCAGTTGAGCTAAACATGTACAACATTGGTAGTGTGAAACTGAATTTAGAGCAGTCGTGTAGATTATTGCCCAGGTGTTAGGAATTGAAACTGAAGCGGCTGTTTTACTCTTAGGCCAGCTTCAACTCTTCTTGCCTGAAGTTCACACATTTTTCTTTCCTTTTTTTTTTTTTTTTTTTTGGTTTTGGTTTCTCGAGACAGGGTTTCTCTATTGTTTTGGAGGCTGTCCTGGAACTCGCTTGGTAGTCCAGGCTGGTCTCGAACTCACAGAGATCCGCCTGCCTCTGCCTCCCGAGTGCTGGGATTAAAGGCGTGCGCCACCAACGCCCGGCCAGATTTTTTTCTTAGGAGTGCTTTTTTTTTTTAATGATCAAGATTAAGCCTGAGGATTCATAAATGCACACTACTACATGGTAAGGTCAAGCAAGCTATATCTCTAGGCTCCTTCCCGTTTTTTTTGTTATTGTTGTTTTATTTTTTTTGGAACAGAGTTTCTCTGTGTAGCTTTGGCTGTCCTGGAACTTGGTCTGTAGACCAGGCTGGCCTTGAACTCACAGAGATCCTGTCTCTGCCTCCTGAGTGTGGGACTAAAGGTGTGTGCCACCACGGTGCAGTCTTCTTCCTGTTTTTATACTCATGCATGTGGAACCCGTTAGGATTCTTCAGCTTCCCTGAAGATGTGGAAGCAATAGTTAACTCAGTAAAAACTGAACTTGAGGTTCTGTTTTCCTAGGCTAGTGATTTTTAGTATTGTGCTGTAATGCTGAGCTCCTAATCCCTAACGAGGTCACAAGGGCACCATTGATACTCCATTGTGTACTGGGTTGCTAGACATTTGTGTTCAGTACAAAGGATGTATTAGATACATTTTCAACTTAAAATTATCTTCAATGTCTGAGGGGTTTATCAGGCATCCTCTGTATCTCTCTCCTTTCTGAATACTAGTTCAATAGTGTGAAATTCAGTCATAGAGGCAAGTGCTTACTCATGAGATTGTCCTGGAAGTCCTTGTGCACCTCTGCTTCAGCCATGGCCGTGCCACTTGAGGTGCAGTCGCTATAGTTTTAGAAAGTAAAAATTGGACTGATGAGATGGCTCAGAGAGGTAAAAATGTGAGCCTGCAAGCCTCAGGACTTGTTTACTCCCTAGAACCCACAAAAAGCTGCATGTGGTGTCTTTGTGGCTCTTACCCATAATCCTAAGCTCCAACTTCAAGAGGAAAGACGGAGACAGGAGGATTGCTCTGAAACTCCCAGGCCAAGAGAGTGGCAGAAACAAAAAGAGGATGGAAAGCAAGGAGAGATTCCCCAAAGTTGTCTTGTCCTCTGACTTCCACACATATACTGAGGCATGCGTACTCATTCTTAAATACATGAACATGAGCCAGCATGCATACACAACACATTTTTTTAAAAAATGGTTTTTTGAGACAGGGTTTTTAGAGGCTCTCCTGGGAACTCTTGGTACACCAGGCTGGCCTCGAACTCAGAGATCCACCTGCCTCTGTCTCCCGAGTGCTGGGATTAAAGGCGTGCACCACCAATTCCCTGCTCAACAATGCATTTTTAAATAATTAGTGAAATATATTAAAAATTAGTTCTAAAAATACTGCTTACACATACAATTAATACAGGGCATCTTTGCACTTAGAGGATTCTTGTTGGTGCCAGGTCTTAAAGTTTGTGTGCATGTGAGTCTGTTTTGGAGACAAGTCTGGTGTAGCCCAGTTTGGCCTTGGGGTATCCAGCTGAGGATGACTTGAAGTTGTGATTCCCCCTGCTTCCACCTCAAGAGTGCTAGGGTTAGTGGTGTGTATCACTATATCCGTTGTTGGAGATTTATCTCAGGACCTTGTGTGTGTGCTGGTCTAGTGCTGAACCAACAGCTGCATCCCCAGCTCTGCAGTCTGATATCTATTTTATACTTTACCTGAATTCTAGCTAGCACATTTCAGATATAAACAGGTCATAATTACCACTGTCCTGGACAGCGTAGCTGTAGGGCTTTGGAGAATAGTTGTGTTTTACTGACCGCACTACTGCCTATTGCACCATTTTTTAACAAGTAAGTGAATGCATATAAATGCTAGCAAACTAAATAAAAGATAATTTTGTAGGAACTAACTTGCCAAGGTCTGTAGACTTGGCATGTTAGTGATCTGAATTTATATTAAAGATGTGTTTGTTTGTGTAGCATTATGGATCCAAGCCTGTTGAGAGACAGAGAGCTGTTCAAAAAACGAGCTCTTTCCACCCCTGTGGTAGAAAAGCGTGCTGTGCCTTCTGAGTTGTCCTCGGCCTCATCCAAGAAGAAGAAAGCAAAAGTTGAACATGGAGGATCATCAGGCTCTAAACAAAATGCAGGTGAGTGTAATTGTTTTAGGACTGTTTCGTTTCACATTTTAAGGAAAGTAGTAATGGTAAGTTCAGTTTAATTTTGAGACAGGGTATCTGTGCAGCCCTGGCTGGCCTAGAACTTCTATGTAGAATAGAATGTCCCAGAGAGATGCCTGCCTCTGCCTCCTGAGTGCTGAGATTACAGGCCTGTCTATTACACCAGAAAGCTTAATATTCTTTTTTTTTTTTTTTTTTTTTTTTGGGTTTTCGAAACAGGGTTTCTCTGTGGTTTTGGAGGCTGTCCTGGGACTCACTTTGTAGACCAGGCTGGCCTCGAACTCACAGAGATCCGCCTGCCTCTGCCTCCCGAGTGCTGGGATTAAAGGCATGCGCCACCAACGCCCGGCTTAATATTCTTTTTGTTTGTTTGTTTTTGGTTTTTTTGAGACAGGGTTTCGTCTGTATTGCTTTGGAGCCTGTCCTGGAACTAACTCTTTTAGACCAGTCTGGTCTTGAACTCACAGAGATCCACCTGCCTCTGCCTCCCAAGTGCTGGGATTAAAGGAGTGTGCCACCAACGCCCAGCGAAAGTTTAATATTATTAGTACATGCATAATCTCATGTTTTAAAAATTAGGATATTGGGGCTGGAGAGATGGCTCAGAGGTTAAGAGCAGTGGCTGGTCTTCCAGAGGTCCTGAGTTCAATTCCCAGCAACCACATGGTGGCTCACAACCATCTGTAATTCAATCTGGCGCCCTCTTCTGGCGTGTAGACAGAACACTGTATATGTAATAAATACATAAATCTTAAAAAAATAAAAGAGAACAATTTAAAAAAAAATTAGGATATTAAGCTGGGAGGCAAAGGCAGGTGGATCTCTGTGAGTTCGAGGCTAACCTGGTCTACAGAGTGAGTTCCAGGACAGGCTCCAAAGCAATACAGACGAAACCCTATCAGGAAAAAAAAAACAAAAACCAAAAATTATATTAGGGCTGGAGAAATGGCTCAGAGGTTAAGAGGACCCTGGTTCAGTTTCCAGCACCCACATGGCAGCTCACAACTGTCTGTAATTCCAGTTGCAGGGGTGTCCCATACCTTCACACAGACATATGTGCAGGTCAAACATCAATGCACAAAAAGTAAAAATATATAACTCTTTGTGAGGCAGGGGAGGTGGTTCAGTAGGTAGCGTTGGGGACTTGAGCCTGCATCCCAATCCAGGGGTTTACACACCTGTAATCCCCATCCTGGGGAGGCAGAGACGGGAGGATACCTGGGACTCAATGGCCAGTCTAGAAGGTGATCCCTAGGTTCAGTGAGAGACGCTGTCTCAAGGTGGGGTGGTGGTAGTGGGGTGGGGAGCAAGGTGATAAAATCACTTGCTGTGAAACCTAGCAACTTGAGTTCAGTTCCTGAAACATGACGGAAGGAAAGAACAGGAATCCTGGAAGGTGGCTCATGACCTCCATAGATGGGTGACAGTACATGCATTTACACACACATGCACAAATACTAGTAAGTAAACCCCTCTTTCTGACCCAGCTTCCATGATGCATATATTATTACATAGTGGGGGGGGATAGTAGTGTAGTTTAAAAATCTAGAGATTAGCCGGGCGGTGGTGGCGCACGCCTTTAATCCCAACACTTGGGAGACAGAGGCAGGCGGATCTCTGTGATTTCGAGGCCAGACTGGACCGACAGCCTCCAAAACAATACAGAGAAACCCTGTCTCGTGAAAAAAAAAAAAAAAAGATTTCTAAGCTTTTCTAGACATTCAACAAATAGAGATTAGGGCTGGCAGGATGATTGAGTAGATAAAGGTGGTTGTCCTACAACTCCGACTACCTGAATGGGATCTTGCGATCGTACATAAAGGTAGAAGAATGGACTCCACAGAGTTGTTCTATGACTCACATCATGAGTATGTACACAGAAGTAATAACAACAACAAAATCTAGACAGTAAAGATTCACATGTTGTTAAAATACTGTTCAGAATAGTTCTGGCTACATGGTATTTTATATACTTAGGTTTTATAAACCCTTTTTATTATTAGTGTCATCGTTATTTTGAGAAATGATACTACCGTAGGCCAAAGCTGGCCTGGAACTCACTGTGTAGCCAAGGCTGGCCTTGTTTCATGACTGTTTCTGCCTCAGTCTCCTGACTGAGAGTAAAGGTGTGGGCCACCATGTCCAGCTTTGTGTTTATGCTAAGTAGAAAAACATGAAAAATGATGCTTTGTGGAAGTGATTTTGTGCTGTCATTGTTCTTTAAAGTAAAATTAATAGATTTCTGCTCTCTTCTCTTTACATAATTATGTACAGAAAGTCATCCCATCAGTAGTAGAGATTAAAAGGAAAAAGAAGTCCTTTGCAAACCCCGGCACTCTCCACAATTGTGTAACAGATTTCCTAGGGAGGACACCACCCCCTCCCCATACACGTTTACTTACCCAAACAGGGAACTGTACATATACAAGGTTTGTTAGGGTTATTTTAGGAGCAGAAAGGACTCAAAGACAGCTGCTATCACCAAAGCTGGAAACCTAGTAGGCAGCTCCACTGGTTGGGGAGTGTACTTTCCAAATGACTCAGCTGGTCTCTGTTCCCAGGGGCTAGTCTTTACTGCTTATGTGCTCTTGGTGATGGAGAGGCTAGTGAATCTGGTCAGTTCCAGGGACTTCCTGAAGCTGTTTTGAGTTGTTTACTTCTGTCTTGACTTCCCTGCAGGATGGAAACTGCTGCTTAGCCACAGTCCTCTTAACATACCAGCTATTCTGCATTTGTTTTCAGTCTCTGTTTAAGTATAAACTTAAAATGGCATTTATTATGATATTAACTAGTTAGAGCTGAGGAGATGATGGCTCAGTTCATCTGCATAATCATAAAAACCCGAGTTTAGATTCCCAGCACCATATATAAAGCTGGGTACATCCAGTGCTGGGGAGACAGACAGGAGGATCCTTAGGGCCTGCTGGCCAGTCACTGAGCTCCAGATTCAATGAGATCATTTGAAAAAAATAAGGTGGAGAGCAGTAGAGGAAGAAATCTACTCTCTCCCTCAGGCCTCTGCATGCACATGTACATTTAGTAAAAGGGGTATTTTCCTTTTTGCTAATATTGGAAATAATGTCTGTCCACTGAGCTTTGTGTTTTGTTTTACCTTTTTGCAGTATTTAAGGTTTGAACCCAGGGTATGCATGGCTCTCAGCCCCAGCTGCTTGCTTGCTTCCTTTTTCAGAATGACTGTTTCATTTACATTTTATTTTAACATCTTGTGTATGAGTGTTTTGCCTGTGTATGTGTATCACAGGCATGCACTGTCTGCAGAGAGCAGAAGAGGGTGGTGGATCTCTTGGAACCTATGTTATAGACAGTTGTAAGCTTCTGTGGGGATACTGGGAATTGAACCCAGATCCTTTGAGAGAGCAGCAAGAGCTCTTAACTGAGCCAACTCTCCAGCTCCTGTTTCATTTGCTTTTTAAGACGTGATTACATATTTTATGGTGATTTTTTTAAAAATAAAATTTAAATTAGAAACAAGCTTGTTTTACATGTCAATCCCAGTTCCCTCCCCCTCCCCTAATTAAATATTTTATAACAATTACTTTATGTGTAATAGGTGTTTTGCCTTCATGTATTGTCTGAGTACCACATTTGTGGCTGGTGCCTGTGGGGAGGCCGGAAAGGGGCATTTGATTGCCCTGGAACTGGAGTCACAGACATGCTACCATGTGGGTATTGGGAACTGAACCTGGGTCCTCTGGAAGAGCAGCAAATGTTCTTAACCACTGAAGTATCTTTTCAGCCCCAATGTAGTTTTTAAAAATAGCATATATTTTAATTTAATCTATTAAAATAATAGAATTCATTATGACATTTTTATACGTGGATAGAAGTGATTTATTCTGAGATAATTTCCTGAAGTAAATTTGTAGCTGTTGTTTATGACATAAAGGTAGTGTAATAGGGTTCCTCATAGGTAATAGCAAAGCAATGTTAAGATTGTGAAATATATTATCTGTATAGCCATTGGGATATTAATAAAATGGAATGGAGAGAGATGGCTCAGCTGTTCTGAGCACTTGTGTTCTTGTAGAGGAGCCAGACTTAATTCTCTGGATGCACATGGCAGTTTAGGTTTCTTAACTCTAGTTCCAGAGCATCTGGTGCCCTCTTCTGGCCTATGAGGGCAACAGGCATGCAGGTAGTACACATAAACACAGGTGAAACATCCATATGCATAAAAGAAAAAGGAAAAAGAAAAGGAAACTTCTATATTTCTTTTTTTCAGCCGGGGTCTTGCTGGCCTTGGTCTTGTGGCAGTCTTCTTGGCTGTCTGAGATTACAGGTGGATGCCCCCACACCTGGCATAGAACATCACATTCCTTTTTAAAAGTGTGTGCTTGCACTTGTGCCATGGGATGTGTATAGAGGCCAGAAGACAACTGCAGGTGTCCTTTATTGCCTTCCACTAGGAACAGAGTGTCTTGTTGTGTTAACTTAGCTATCTGGCCCATGAACTTGAGGAGAGCATCTTGTCTTTGCTGTATATTAGTGCTGTTGTGCAACCTTGAGCCACTGGCTCTGTGTGCGTTTTGTGGTCTGAATTCAGGCCTCATGGTATGGCAAGTGCTTTACCTCCTGAATGATCTTCCAACCCCAAACTGCCATAGTTCTGTACGTGTTGAGTGTCTTTACTATTATTGTTAGAGCTGGGTATGGTAGGGTAAACCTGCAATCCCAGTACTTGGGGAAGGGAGATCATCTTGGGCTGCATCTCAAAATGAACAAAACAAAAAACCCAAACCCCAAGTATTTATTATTACTCTGCCAGCTCTAACAAAAGTGTTTGACATTTCTTTGTAGTTTTCTGCATTGAGTATCTTTAGGTCTTGATAGTGTGACTAAGAGAAGTAAAAATAATCAGCTGGGCATGGTGGCACACACTTTTAATTCCATCACTTAGGAGACAGAGGCAGGTGGGTCTCTGAGTTCAAGGACAGCCAGGGCTACATAGAGAAACCCTGTCTCAAAAAACCAAAAGTAAATAAATAAATATAATAAAGTAAAAATATATTGTCTTCAATCAGTTTTAAATATTGGATTTTTAATGAATAGGGGCTCTGCAATGGTGGCACATGCCTGTAATCCCATGGTTTTGGAGACTGAGGCAGTATGGTTGCTGCAAGATTGAGGTCAGCCTAGGCTGCATATCAAGACTATATCATCCCCTTCCTCCTGGCTTGACAAAGGAACTCTGTAGTAGAAATGTCCGTGTTGTGCCCCCCCCCCAACACCTGGACACCCCAGACAGGGTTTCTCTGTAGCTCTGGCTGCCCTGGAACTCACTGTAGAACAGACTGTCCTCAAACTCCAGATCCTCCAGCCTCTACCTCCTAAATGCTGGGATTGAAGGCGTGCACCACCACTGCTGGCCCGGAAATGTTTTACTCTGGATTTAGAGGCACATTTTAAGTAGGATTTTGCTACTGAAACACTTCTTTGTAATCTGTGTGACCAGGCACAAGTTACTATTCTAGCAGTTAGCTCTAGTTTGCCTAGAGACTGGAATACTACTGTTTAGTATTCCCAGTAGTGCATGCTGGGAATAGTTCATGTGGTTTTTGAGGTTCTGTATTAAGTAGACTGGTAAGTTCATGTTATGAACTGTATATTTAATGAAGGATACACACAGAAAGGTGCACATTTCACTTGTTTTCTGCCAGAAATCTTTTAGCCATTCAAAGTAAATTTCATTGAAACAGCTGGCTTCAGGAAATTTTCATTTTCCTCAGGAGAGGCAGAAGGCTGTTTTAATGAAGTTTTTGTCCGTCTTCTAAGGAGGGCTAGACTACCTCACTGTCACGTTTTCTGATGTTGTCCATCATACTCCTGAGAGGGTTCGGCTCACTTTTCAAGTCCTTCACAGTTTTGTTCTTGGCACAGCAACAGCAGTCGAGTGCTTCATACAGGAAAGCCAGCACGACTAAGGACACCACGGTAAATATGAACAAAAGCAGGATGACAAAGCAGGCAGTGTTCCAGTTATCATGGAAAGGGTAAATTGTTTGGACTTGAAAGCCGAGGTACTGATAGACAGAGGTCGTGGTCTCATTCCAGTGGCTAGAAGCCATCCTTGAGGCCTCCCTTCTTTATTGCTGTTGGAATCTACACAAAGGGAGAAAGTGAATGCATACACAACCAAACTGCAGATTTGTGTGTTCAGATCTCACACCAAAGTTCCTTAGGAAATTTATATAGTGACCATGGATGCTACTTGTATTCTAGCAAAATTAATGACTGATTATGTTTAGGTTAAATTTAGTTGTCATATATTTCGCTTATTAGATAATATTTGTGTTTAAGATTCATACACAAAGGAGAATAATTAAATATGGAATTCACTGCCAACAGGGTGCGCAACCACCAGCTGGAAGCTTTACTAAAGCAGTTGTCAGTGAGCAGGTATCCAGGGGAACGCTTGTCATTACCCTTCAGTGTTTCTCAACCTCTTGGTTTCGGGTGTTTCTGCCTTCTATTGTCACTCTGTCAATTTTGATCTGAATCTAAAAATTGAAGCTGAATACAAAATAACAAAGAAAAGCCAAGTAAGTTTTCAGTATAAGGATTAAATAGAGTTTGAGACTTAAGTTGCCTGTGAAGTGATGTTGCTGTTGGGATTATTAATTAGTTCTGTAGGTGTAATAGTCTTGTTTTGTAAACCTAAATGACCGTGGACAGTAATTAAAGTGGATAAATTTAAGGCTGGCAAGATGTCTCAGGGGGTAAAAGATGCTTGCTGCTAAACCTAATGACCTGAATGTGACCTCCAGGATCTGTTTGGTGACCAGACTAATTATGCAAGTTTCCTGCTGACCTCCATGGCATGTTAAATGCTCCCCCCACCCCCCAAGATGTAATGATTTTTTTTTAAAGATTTATTCAGTATGGCCGGGTGTTGGTGGCGCACGCCTTTAATTCCAGTACTTGGGAGGCAGAGACAGGCGGATCTCTGTGACTTCAAGGCCAGCCTGGTCTACCGAGTGAGTTCCAGGACAGGCTCCAAAACAATACAGAGAAACCCTGTCTCGAAAAACCAAAAAAAAAAAAAAAAAAAAAAATTCAGTATGTAGACAGTGTTTTGCCTGTGTATATGCATGCAGGCCAGAAGAGGGCACCAGATGGTGTGAGCCAATGTGTGGTTGCTGGGAATTGAACTCAGGACCTTTGGTAGAGCTGTTAGTGCTCTTAACCATCTCTCCAGCCCCAAATGTAATGAATTTTTAAAAAGCAGATAAATTTAGCTCTTTTTTTTTGTTTTTGTTTTTGTTTTTTCGAGACAGGGTTTCTCTGTATTGTTTTGGAGGCTATCGGTCCAGCCCAGCCTCGAACTCACAGAGATCCGCCTGCCTCTGCCTCCCGAGTGCTGGCATTAAAGGTGTGCGCCACCACCGCCCGGCTAAATTTAGCTCTTTAAGAACTGTCAATTACTGATTTCATCAAGCAAGCTAGTGAGTTAAAGTTCTGTTTTTATACCACTGGGGGGCTCTTTCCTTGACCCCTATTTTCGTTATTTTAAAACTTTTATAGCTCATGGTGGTCTTCAATTTTGAATGTAGTTAAGGCTAATTTTGAACTTTAGATATTTTTTCTTTGTTTCCTTAGTGCTGGGATTATAATAGTGCATTGCTATCCTTGCTAATTTCAGTTATTTTTTGTTTTTTTGTTTTTTTTTAACGAGACAGGGTTTCTCTTTATTGTTTTGGAGGCTGTCAGTGCAGCCCGGCCTCAAACTCACAGAGATCCGCCTACCTCTGCCGCCTACCTCTGCCTCCCGAGTGCTGGAATTAAAAGAGTGCCCCACTACCGCCCTGCTGTTTGTTTTATTTTTTGAGACAGTGTTTCTCTGTGTAGCTTTGGAGGCTGTCCTGGAACTCACTCTCTGTAGACCAGGCTGGCCTTGAACTAAGAGAGATCTGCCTGTCTCTGGCCCCCCCGAGTGCTGGAATCAAAGGTGTGTGCTACCACTGCTTGGCTAATTTCAGTATTTTTCTTTTTAAATTCTGTTGACCTGATATTTGTTATACCTTACATGTGAATGTGAAGATTGAAAATTTGCTAGTATAGAAATATTGTAATAGTTTTTATTTTCTTTTTTGAGATAGGATCTCACTATGTAGCCTTGGCTGGCCTAGAGCTTGCTGTGGAGACACTGGCCTCAAACTCACAGAAGTCTGCCTGCCTCTGATTCACAAGTGCCGAGAATAAAGACATGTGCCACCACGCCCAGCCCCCATTATTTTGATTTTTTTTTTTTTTTTACATAAAAAGGCTTTATTTGCAGGGGAGCAGGAATTTAATCAAACAAGCCAAATCCCATGTCATCATCCGACTCTTCGGACTCGTCTTTCTTCTCCTCTGCTGCAGCAGGGGCAGAACTAGCAGCAGGAGCTGCAGAGCCAGGGGCAGCAGAAACAGCCACAGCTCCACCAGCAGGCATACTAGCAAGTTTGCCAACACCCTGGGCGATGACATCCTCAATGTTTTTTCCATTCAGCTCACTGATTACCTTGTTGAGCCGGTCATTGTCTGCCTCAATGCCCACGCTTTCTAGTATCTTCTTAATGTCTTTGGCGCTGGGAGAGGAGTTGCCCCCAAGGGCGACAAGCAGGTAAGAGGCGACGTAGCGCATGCGGACAGGCCTCACCCATTATTTTGATTTTTTAAAAAATACTTTAAAGAGTTATTAAATACCTATCCAGTTTTAAAAAAGGAAATGAACACATGATTGCATTTTCTGTACTATACACTTACAAACAAGGTTTCGTGTGTATTTACAACAAATGATTATCACGCCCTGTGTACTGAGTGGTTTTTCTAAAATGTAGAGATGTTTTTTATGTGTATATATTGTCTAAAAAAAACAACTTCAACACAGTACATGAAGGGTATAACATTGGCATTATGGTACATGCCTATGATCCCCACACTTGTGAGACAGATGTAGGAGGAACATTTGTTTGAGGCCAGCCTAGGCTACGTTGGGAGTTCCGGATGGGTTTCAGATGTATAGTGAGACTTTTGACTCAAAAAAGCAAGGAAGAGTGTGTAAGGAATCCCTATGTGCTCACAGATAGATTTGTCTTCATGTATCAGTTGTTGGCTTCTATTACATGTGTCACTGAAAAGCAGCTCCTAGACATTATTCAATCTAGAAATATTTCAGTACTTATTTCTAAAGATGGAGACTGTGTTTCTAAAAACAAGCACGGTGTTATTTCTACTCCCAAACTCTGAAGTCATGGGTTAAAAAGGTCTTCCTAGTAAACAGAATTTTACAACTTCTACCAAAGTTATGTTTCCTAAGGTTTTCTTTTCTGTTCTAAATCAAGTTTGGCTTACAAAATCCCACCTCTAGCCTTTTGCTTACTTCCAGTATTTTGAAGGTTAGATTTATTATCTGAAGTCAGGAGTAAAGGCTTAAATACATGTCGTTTGAACTTAAAACTTGTTTCCTGGTGCTTGATCACCCTTCATTCTTCAGTGAGAGACAACAGGATGGTGTGCAGTTGAATTGCTTCTATTAGTTGAGGGACATACAAAGTTACATTGTTAGTGGGTGAGGAAGTCACTTCATACTACATTTCACTTAAGCCATGTCTCTAGACCTAGGATATCAGAATTAACTTATTGGGGGCTGGAGAGATGGCTGCTCTTCCAGAGGACCTTGGTTCAGTACCCAGCGCCCACATGGCAGCTTACAACTGTCTGTAATCAACTTCAAGTGATTTGACACCTTTACACAGACATATGTGCAGACAAAACACCGGTGCACATAAAATAAAAATCACCTTATTCTTGGAATGTTCTCTCCAGAGTATATTTTTTTTAATTGAAAATATTTTTTTCATACAATATATTCTGGTTATGGTTTCTCCCCCCCATATGCCTCCTAGTCCCCCCCCCCTTCCTGCCTTGATCCACACCCTTCCTATTTCTCCTTAGAAAACAATTAGGCATCTCTAGAATAATAGTAAAATGAGACAAAACAAAAAGAAGCAAATCAGAATAATACAAAAACCAACCTAAAAAGAGCCAAAGGAAAGCACAAGAAACACAGATGTAGAGAAAAACCCACTTGCACACATAGGGATCCCATTAAAAACAAAACTGGAAGCTATACTATGTATGCAAAGGACTTGTAATGTTCAAAAATGCCTTGACTTAATACTGTGAGCCAAAGAACCTCCAAGGATACCAGTGAGCTTGTTTTGTGTTGACCACCTACTGCTGGGCATGCAGCCTACCCTTATGAGGGATTTGTTTCCCCAGTGAGACTCATTGGAGAAAACTACATTTTCATTCACAAGTGGCAATCAGTTAGAGATAGCTTCTGGGGTAGGGATAAGATTTTGTGTCCATCTCTCCTTTCAGTTCTAGGACTTCATCTGATACAGAGCACATTCTTACGGAAAAACAAGTTTCCATGTGCTTTTTGGTTCCATTGCCCTATAATGTAGTGTTAAGTGATATCTTGTGTGGTTGTGTGGTGTATGGATACCCTGGTGGACTGCTCCATCCTGTGTGGTGTTGAGGTCTCTGAGTCTAAACACCATGGACACAAATGAGCAAGTATTCAGAAACTTGGTTATCAGTTTAGGGGTGTGGGTGTGGTAGGTGTCATGGCTGGTTCCTTTTGATCTGACTTCTTTAATAAAGGCACATGAGGTATGTGCATACCTCCCATGTGACTTTAAAATGTTTGGCTTTTGAAGCACCTTTAAGGTTTCTGACAGTAGTATAATGTGAACATTCATGCAAGGAGACCCGTAGGATCCCAGCAGTCATGGGGTAGAAAATTCAAGACCCATGAACTACAGTTAGGAACATGATCGAGCCAGATGCTTAAATTGTACTTAAGTTGTCTTGAACAAAACAGGCCTTAATTTGAAATAATGTTCAAATTAAAACATTTACCTGGCCGGGGGGTGGTGGCGCACGCCTTTAATCCCAGCAAGCACTCGGGAGGCAGAGGCAGGCGGATCTCTGTGAGTTCGAGGCCGGGCTGGACCGACAGCATCCAAAACAATACAGAGAAACCCTGTCTCGGAAAACCAAAAAAAAAATTTACCTGGATAAAGGAGCATTTTTTCCCGAAAACTACAGCACAGGGTTTCATTGTGAGGACGTGGCAAACATGTTGCTTTTACGTTAACATAAATGAGTTTTCAGATTTTTAGTCTTTTGAGACAGGGTTTCTCTGTGTAACTCAGAAATCCGCCTCCCAAATGCTGGGATTAAAGGCATGTACCTCCACCACCCAACTTCAGATTCTTCTTGTTTGTGTTTTTTGTTTGTTTGTTTTTTGAGACAGGGTTTCTCTGTGTAACTCAGAAATCCGCCTCCCAAATGCTGGGATTAAAGGCATGTACCTCCACCACCCAACTTCAGATTCTTCTTGTTTGTGTTTTTTGTTTGTTTGTTTTTTGAGACAGGGTTTCTCTGTGGAGCTTTGTAGACCAGGCTGGCCTTTAACTCACAGCGATCTGCCTGCCTCTGCCTCCCAAGTGGTGGGATTACAGGCATGCGCCGCCGCCCAGCTTAATTCTTTTTGAAGAGCATAAGTAATAGAGATAGTCATAAGACCCAGACTTGAGGAAACTAGAACTCAGGGCCTCATTTGTGATAGGAGAGCACTCTGCCACTGCCCAATGTCCCCACTCTAGACAGAGTACTTTATGTTCATGTGAAAATTCATAGATGATTATGCTTGCAGTGACCATGGAATAACAGTATGTTTACCAAAGGCACATGTGCATTTTTGCTGGAAGTGTCTAAGCAGTTTAGAAAGGAGTATATATGAGTAGTGGTTTGAATAAGAGTGGTCCCCATAAGCTCATATATTTGAATGTTCAGTCACTAGGAGTGGCATTTTTTGAAAAGATCAGGAGGTGTGTGTGGCTTTATTTGAGGAAGCGTGTCACTGGGGGTTTCAAAAGCCCAAGCCAGGCCTAGGCTCTCTTCTTTTGCATTAGGATGTAGCTCTCAGCTACTGCTCCAGTGCCTAAGAGTTGCCATGGTTGGTGTCTCTTCCCAGCAATAAAGAGTGACTAAGATAGTATGTTCCAGGCTTATGTTGTATGTTATGACATTTCGCCACTTTCGACAGTATTGAAACGATGAGGAAGTCAAAACATACTTGCTTTACTTAGCTTCTATTCATATTGAAACAAATAAAACACGTATGATAGACTTCACTTCCCACCTTCAGTTTAATTTGTATTCTTTCAAAGTATAGAGAAGACCAGGAATCTTCATGTGTTAGATTTAAGATGGAGACTAAATTTTATGGCAGTGGATTTGGTGTGATTAAGCATCCAAAAAGAAGTACACTATCAGGATTTCCTATTCTAGACCAAATTTTTCCAAATAAAATTAAATTTGTATCAAGGAAATGCTGTAAACGTGTTATAAAAACTGGGAGAAAATGATTAAAAATAGAAACAATCACAGTCTTGTACTTGGTGGGTCCATTCTTTAATTTTATTGTAGGAATGGGAAGCCTTAAAGCAAATTATATAATTCTTAGGTAGGTTTTATTTTATGTTATTTTTGCTATATTTCCTTTACCTGTTCAACCTTTTCAAAAAGCCCCAGTGGAATATTATGAGGATAGGTCTTGTGGTTTTGGGACCCTGGATCACCAGATTAGAAATAAGATTTAGTTCTATTTATGGTAAAAACTTGTAAATTGAATTCCCTGGCACTTTTAAACATATCCCTTTGAAATATGATCAGTTGATAATAATAGGCTTTAAATATAGAGCAATTCATTTAATTCAAGCTCGGACTCTGGGATAGGGTATACTTGAAAGATGACTTGGTGAACAGTACTAGACCTCCATTTATGCTAATTATGGAATAGTATATGAAAACGTAGGCTGTTATGAATGTTAAGTTAATTTGAAATTTTAAGGTATAAATTAACTTATTTGACAGGTGTTTTTATATTACTTGGCTCCCATATTTTGTATAGTAAGCAGGAATGGTTTCTAGGTAATTAACCCTGCTGTGCTGAACCTGAGAGATGTAGTATCTTGTTACACAGCCTTTTGAGTTTTTCAAATGATACTGTTTGTGTAACCTGAATACTGATGAAGAAACAGAAGGCATAGAAGTTATGAAAAGCAGAAGAACACAAACCTTAGTAGTGAATAATATGCTTAGCATTAAGGTGAAGGTGAAACTCGCATATTCAGGTTGTTAAGTACAGTATGCCATGGAGAGCTAACACCTGCTAAAGATTTCATCTTTAGATTCTATTTACAGACATTTAGTCCATTATTCTGAGCTAGGAAAATAATTTTACAGCCTAGAATTACTGTTCTTCCTTAACCAGCTCTTCTTAGGATACATTTAATTTTAAGATGTAGTTTATCAAAAAGCTTGAATTTTGTGTATCTCAATACCAGCTTGAGAATAACTTATTTTAAATTTTTGTATGGCTTATAATGAAAGGGTATTTGAAAAGATTTTTGTGTAATAACATGGTTTGTATTTTATGGTAAGATAGATTTTACTGTGAGGAGTTAGAGAAATCAACAGTCTGTAAATTCTCTTTGTTTATAGTATAATATAACTCATATAATACAACTCACATAAATAAGTGTTTTTATATAAAATTATAGCATTTTCTGCATTAGTACTCAGTCAGATATAAATAATTTGAATTATTTCTCAATTGTTAAAATATAAACTTTCTTATAGCTGCTTTTTATCTGATGATATTACATATATAATCAGAAAGCTTTAGCCAAGGCATTGCTAGTCTAGATTTTTTCTTTGAGAAACATCCTTTGTTAAGATAGACCAGACTTAAAATGAATTTGCTTTGAGAAAATGAAATAAGCAAAGACCCAGGCTAACATCAAATGCCTTTGTCTTACGGTCTGGATAGATCAGATTCGTAGAAAATGTAATGAATTTTCCATTAAGGCACAGATGGTAAGGATGCTTATCAAATAGCACACGGCAGTCATCATTTTCGTGATAAAATCCTACCAAATACTGGTTAATACATTGCTTTCACGGGTTCAGTAGGCACAATGCTTTCTGCTTGATTTTTTTTCATGGTAAAATATTTTCCTACTGCTTCGTAAGGATATGGACTACTGAATAAAAAGGATCAAATATGCCTACCTCTTGTCTGGAAAGATGCTGTTGAAGCGATGGTATCGTCTGTTTGTAATGCAGTCTAGTGCACAGCCAAGATGGAGCTGTGCTCCTATTGGTTGGGCGCATAGTGCAGCTGACAGTTTCCTCTGTGCTCATTTGCATTAAGCTCTGCCGTCCTGAGGAGCAGATCATTCATAAACTGAATAGAACCCTCTGGGGTATCAGCTGACATCCCCTTTAAAAATTTGTTTTTTCACATAGAAACAGATGGTGATTTCTTAGGTTTTTTTTTTGTATTGTTTTGTTTTCCTATAAAATATCATATCCCTCTTTGAATAGCTCAGTGCTAGGGCTAGAATACAGTCTCCAGAGGTAGTTACCTAGGGAACAGCAGCCTAGGTTAAGCACGTTGGTAAAATGTTAACAGGAAATGTACATAAAATCTGATAAATAAGCTTAAAATTAACAAAAATTTGTTTTTTTCTCAGTATGTCCTCAAGTCTTGACTTCTGGAGTTATGGACACATAGTGCTTGTATTTGGGAGAAATTTCCAGGAAACAGAATTAATGTTTTAGTTCTTTAAGTTATAGTAGAGTTAGTTTAGGTGGGTAGTTTTTCTTCTAAATTTAACAATATAGACAGCTTTTATGATTTTAGTTGGGTCAAGTGCAACCGACTGTTCATTAATAGTTTTTGTTATGAAAATAGTTTGGCCTAATCATAGCAGAATCTGGATTTATTTCTAATTAAAGGACTAGCTCATTTTTAAATTTTTTTTAAAAATTATTTTTTATGTGTACTAGTGTTTTGCCTGTGAGGGTGTAGAATCCCCTAGAATTGGAGTTGCGGACATTTGTGAGCTACCATGTGGGTGCTGGGAATTAAATTCGGGTCCTTTGGAAGAGCAGCCTATGCTCTTATTCTCTGATCCACCTCACCAGCCTAAGGAGTAGCTCTTAAAAGGGGGAGAACTGGACTTGGAGGTGCACACTTTGGGGGGGTTTCGAGACAAGTTTCTCTTATTGTTTTGGAGGCTGTCCTGGAACTCCTCTGTAGACCAGGCTGTCCTTGTACTCACAAAACAACAACAAAAAAACCCACCAAAAATTAAACAAAAAACCTCACTGTATAGACTCAAAAAATATATAGGTAAATCATTACATTAATTTGGGACTATATAGTAGTACATGGAAATACCCCTGTTACATTGCATTAATCATTCAGTAGATATTTGAATGTTGATTTCAGTTGGCATTCATTGACTTAGTACTGGGGATATTGTGGTAAGCAAACTATGTGGTTCATAATTGATTGTTTGAAATTTGTTTCAGGAGGGGGTGGATTTTGAGACAGAGCTTCTTTGTGTAATAGCTCTGGCTGTCCTGAAACTCACTTTGTAGACCAGGGTGGCCTCTGCCTGCTGGGTGCTGGGTGCTGTGATTACAGGTGTTTGCTACCGACGCCTGGTTTTGGAGTTTGTTCTTAATATACTGTGATTTCATTTTTAAATTTTGCATATGTGTGAGCATTATATGTACATAGTTATATTTATAGCTTATGTATAATACATATATGACACAGGAAAAGCAATAATACTGATTAAAATGCTGATCTTGATGGTACAGACCTATCATCCCAGCTAGGATGGGGGTTGGATCACAGGTTTAAGGCAGTCTAAGGAATTTAGTGAGACTGTCTAATAGAAAGTCTAAGTGGGCCGGGTTAAGCTCAGTGATAGACCACTTGCCTAGTGTGTATGAGGTCCTAGCTTAATGTTTGTTTCTGGTTATCTGTGTTCTGACAAAGTGGAATAATAATGTGTGAAGGTAGGGGGTAGAACTTACATATGGCAATAGTACAGGGTTTACAGCTTGATTTAAACCTATGCCTTGTTAGAGCCCTCAATTTGTATGTTTAAAAGAGGACAAGTAGAGCTGGGGAGATGGCTCAGCTGGGAAGTGTTTACTGTGTGAGCAGGAGACTGACTTGAAACCCCAGCGCCTGTGTCCAAGGGGCTGGAATCCCAGTGTGGACAGGCTGGTACAGAAAGATTACTTACTGGGGCTTGCTGGCCAGTGGGTGCGCTCCAGGTTTAATGAGACACTCTCTGAAAAGTACGATGGAGGGGCAGGAGAGATGGCTCAGCAGTTAAGAACACTAGTTGATCTTCAGAGGACCTTGGTTTGGTTCCCAGCAACCACATGGAAGCTCGCAACTGTCTAACTCTTGTTCTGGGACATCTGATGCCCTATTTTGGCTTCTGTGGGCACCAGAGTATTCATGGAGTACACAGACATACATATAGGCAGAACAGCCATATGCATAAATTAAAATTTATAAATAAAAAGAAATAGAAAGGCAATTGAGGAAGACACCAAATTCTGGTTTACACGTGCACGTGGGACCTACCACTCCACACACAAAATAAAGACAATAAAACCTCTTAAATAGAATTTATGAGGATTAAATGTAGAAATCATTAGTGTGATGCTCAACAGATACAAGGTTCAATAAATGTTAGTGACTATTATTAAAAGTGTTTTGAACATCTTGGGTGTAAATAACCGTAGGTTAGTATTTCATAACTGAAATGAATGTACTATTATTGTTGAGACAGGGTCTTCTGTAGCCCAGGCTAGTCCTGGGTTGATATATAGCAAAGTATGACCTTAAAATTAAAAGCCATCATCACCTCTAGCTTTTGAAATTGTGTATGTAAACGCCTATCGGTAAAGCTTTCTTACTATTATTGTTAGTTTTGGAAACATGATAGATTTTAATGTGCCAGTTGAGTTACTTTTCAAAATTATAAGCCATTTTTAAGGGAAAATTCCAAAGGGCATTGCATTTTAGTATTAAAGAAAACATTCAATAAAGACTTTTCACTAATTGATTTCAAAGGAGTATTATGTTGCATCTAGAAACTTGTTTTGGATCTCTGACAATTGTTATATTTGACTTGTGGTTGTGCTAATGCAGTCTTCTGTTTAAATGGTTATTACCAAGCTGATGCCAAAGATGGCTTCTCCTTTTTTATTTAGCCACTCTCTTTGTGTATCAGCTGTATGGGAAGTTGGTATCTGACCTGATAATCTTGCTAATAGGATGTGTGCTTCGGAAATGCTTTTTTGTATTTATAGTGAATTTTGTAACCTTTCTGTCATGGCTCAAATGCATTTCTGATACAGTGATAGCATTAGGGTTCTATCTGTAGGGAGGTGACAAAATGATAGACGTTTTGAAATAATATGTAAAGATTTCTGAGAGAGGAAGGGGAAGAAAGGAGATGAAGACATTATTATTTCTTGTGTTTATAATGTTCTCCTGTTTCATTGCTGGAGGACTCTATTAGAGGACTCTAATCAAGTTGAAGGTAGGAGTAGAATGAGATAAAGGTACTTGTAAAAGAATTATATTTTGAGTTGGATGTGGTTGTACAGGTCTTTAATTCTAGCCGAGGAGGCTGAGGCAGGTGGAGATCTCTGAGTTAGAGGCTAGTGTGGTCTAATAGTAAAGCTCAGACTCAGGGTTAGAGTTAATTTGGGTTAGGGATATAGCTCACTGTTAAAGAGTGCTTGCCTAACCCACACAAGCCCTGAATTAGATTTCCAGCACTCTCCTTCCCCCAGCTATATTTTAATGCTTTTAAATAATATTTAGCCTAGGACATGTCAGTAATCTTATAATCCAGCACTTTGGAGGCTGAGGTGGAAGATGGTTGTCCAAGACTAATGTGTACTGGAGTGAGAATTGATAACTTAATAAACATACATGGTTTTTGTGAGTTTTCATAATATTACAGGATAGACTTCATTAGATGAAAAAATCCAAAGAAAAGTATTCTGCCAAAGTTAAAATCATTTTTATTGCTCAAGTCATAATAGCATATTATATGAAAATGTTACAATAATCCTTTTGAACTTTCTTTCCAGATCATAGCAATGGATCATTTAACTTGAAAGCACTATCTGGAAGCTCTGGATACAAGTTTGGTGTTCTTGCTAAGATTGTGAATTACATGAAAGTAAGTACTTGCATAACAAAAGTCCCTTTTATTTCTTTGACAAAAAACAAGAATTAGATCTGTTTTCAGAAGTTAGATAATTGTATAAGTATGCCAAGATTTATCAAATTACTCATTTTAGTATGTGTAGTTTATTATATGTTGATCATACTTAAAGAAACTCCTAAAATATTTAATGTTTACAGCCTTGTGCCCTCTGTAACTGGCATCACAGTAATATGCTCAATTATATTTAATATAATTTACATTACAGTCAAGTGTACAACTTAGGCTCATTATTTGACTTTAAAAGAGACATGTGGCCTGGAAAAACCCGTGAGAAGATGGGTACTTTTTCAAGATAGTTCTTTCATTCATATGAGAACCCAAAACTCCACAGGTGAAGCAGCTGTTGGCGACTGATTCTCTTCGTGGAGGTTAGGAGAATTACCAAGGATCTTAGGAAACGTTGACTCAGAAGAATTAGAAGTTGGATGTCAGATTGTGTCTGAATTGTGTAGTTTGTGTTTGATTTCAAGTAGAAACATTTTAGTTTATATTTCTCAGTATTAGATGATAGTAAATTTTGGCTGTTTATTCATCTGTTGCCCCGTGTGTTAAACACTTATTAACATGTACTACTGATAGTGGGTAACAAGAAAGATCATCCTCTTGGAGCTATCAGTCAGTAAAGGAAATTGACTGTTTTAAAGTCTATTAGCTTTTCATTTTATTTTCCTTAGTAATAAACAAATATAGTTAACATTTTTCTTGTGACCACAAGGCTTCTGACTTGAGTTGCTATGCAATTATTGATAAGAGTTGATTGGAGCTGGGCGTTGGTGGTGCAAGCCTTTAACCCCAGCACTCGGGAGGCAGAGGCAGGTGGATCTCTGTGAGTTTGAGACCAGCCTGATCTACATAGCTAGTTCTAGGACAGGCTCCAAAACAATACAGAGAAACCCTGTCTCGAAAAACCAAAAAAAAAAAAAAAAAAAAAAAGAGTTGATTGGGTAGATTGACTCGGTTTGCTTTGTTTGTATGTAACAGTGATCCTCTTTTCTTTCTGTAGTCACTGCATCTGCAGATGCTTGTTAGTTATTGTAGGGTAAAGTAGATTTGGCACCAAATCTGCTGCTGATCTTAGATTTTCTAGATTTAAGTGCAGAGAAAGGAATGTTCACAACACTAAGGTAATTCTCATGGAAGTTTTATGATAAGCACAGTTCCAAGTTATGTGCCAAAAACCACTTGGAGCTTCATCCTTCAGGCAGCCTGATATCATCTGACACACAGTTTCATTGAAAACAAAACCATGGAAACTTCGTAACTTGTCAAAGGATTTGGTGTCTGGTCATTAGTCATTTACTTTCTCAGCCTCTAGGAAAGAAGTGAAGAAGGCAGGAGCTGGAGCTATCCAGCTCAGCGATGAGCGCGTGTGCTAAGACCTGGGCTCTGTCCCTAGCACGGCAAGACTAGAAGAGTCCCAAGTGTCAAGGCTAGTGCCTGTGGCAGTCACAGAAGTTGGTTTTCTCCTTCTACACTGGGGTTCTGGGGGTCAAACTCAGGTCATTGGGTTTGGCATCTGGTGCCTTTACCTACTGACTCATCTTGTCTCCACCCCCCCTAAAAACAAAGCAAAAACAACACATGAGTTTATAATGTAGCTCTGACTGGCATGGACCTCAGAGATCTGCCTGCCCTGGGATAAAAATATATGCCACTTATGGGTGTTATGTAGCATAACTAGAACAGTTTGGTAGTCCTAGAAAATAATTTTGTTACCTTGAAGGAAATGGCCCCCAATTGATATTCTACTGCTTAAACTCTGTAAGTATGCATTTTAAATTATTTTCTGCACTAATAGTAAAAGGATGAACTTGGGAATCTTGAAGAGAATAGCTTAGGTTTAAAGTTTTTGGCAAAAAAAAAATTATCTCTTTTTTTTTTTTTTGCCAGTGTTCTCTTTGCTTTCATGACACTCTCCTGAGAACAGTGTGCTCATGGGTAATCCTGAATGGAATTGAGATGTGTTAGGACTGGAAGAGGAGAAATTGTTTAAAAGGGAAACTGATCAGTTGTACAAATTATGTCAGAATTTGCAATGTCCTAGGTGGGGCCAACATATTCTTAGTCTATGTGTCAGGCATGGGAGGAGAGTGTTGGAGTTCAGACTCAGGGCTCTGTGTGAACTAGGCAGTCACCTCCTATTACTGAGCTACATTTTAGGCTGGCCGCAGCTGCCTAACTTCTGACCCTCCTCCCAGTGCTAGGATTGTGTGTGTGGTGACATGCTGGGTTAGTCTGTTTGTGTAGGCAAGCACTGCTCACTCAGCTATATCACAATCTCATTATGAGATTTTTAAATGATTTTTTTTGTTTTATCTTTGTTGGAGGTTTGAGTGTATGTATTTTGTAGACGAGAACTGTGTCATAATGTCAAAAGGTTGGGTCTGTCTGAAATTAAGCAAAAACATTGCAAACTGAGTGGAAGTAGGATGCATCTTTTTCCTTCTTCCTCTCAGTCTCCTTTCTTCTAAGGTCTGCTTTGAAAGAGGGAATGAGCATATCTAATAGAAGAGGATTTGTAAGCTGGTGAGTGTAGTCAGTTGTCCTCTCCCTCTGCTTTTGGCAGATTTCATAAAAGGAACTTCAAAGCCAGGCGTTGGTGGTGCACGCCTGTAATCCCAGCACTCAGGAGGCAGAGGCAGGCACATCTCTGTGAGTTCGAGGCTAGCCTGGTCTACAGAGTGAGTTTCAGGACAGCCTCCAAAACAATACAGAGAAACCCTGTCTCAAAACAAAACAAAAGGAACTTCAAAAGCAAAATAGGTAAACATAACATCAAAAATATGTATAATACCTCGGTGGTGGTGGCACATGCCTTTAGTCTCAGTGCTTGGTAAACAGAGACAGGAAGATCTCTGTGAGTTTGAGGTCAGTCTGGTCTACGGAGCTAGTTCCAGGACAGCCAAGGCATCACAGTGAATCTCTGTCTCCAAAAACCAACACAACAAAATAATAATAGTAATAGTAATCATAATAATAATAATACTTGTAGTGGACCTCTTTGGATGCTCACTAGAAATGGAAAAGTTCAAGGGGAGTTATAAGGGAATTGAGATAGAAATTTTACAGCAAGAAATGAGAACGTGAGAGAAAGTGCTGAGTACACATATATACACACAAAGACAGATGTAAGAACTTTAAAACCATAACCCAAGAGCATGAAGCATAGGGTTAGGTTAGACTGTTCGCATGTGTTTATTACATCATAACCTGGTCATTTAAGACAAAAACTGAGACAATAGGGTTATACTATTATTATTGGAACTGCTTAGGAAAATGGAACTTCATGGCCCATTTTAGAAGAATTTAAAATAGTTCATAAGAAACAAATGTTTATTAAATACACAAGTCTTAAAATGCTTGGAGCTGTTTTGAAGATGGCTTGCGAGGGATGCTTTCTCCATGAGATTCTGGGTACCCTTAGGCTACTGCTGTTTCTTCAGCTGCTGAATCTCCTTCCCAATCTAGAGAACAATGCAAGGGCTGTCCATATCCAGCTTTCCCTTTGATTATTTATAAGTTAATGACGTACGTACATTTGTGTGTGTGTGTGCGTGTTTGTGTGTGTGTGGATGAACAGAAAGCACTTCCGTCACTGAGCTGTATCTCCACAATTTCTACCTTTTATTATAAGGTCTCAATTAAGTTGTCCATACTGGCTTTGAACCTGATTCTCCTGCTTTAGACTCCCAAGTACCTAGGATTATAGGCTTATGCCAGCAGGCCTGGCTTAAATTTGTCCTTTTTGAAAAAATGATTTATTATGTAGACAGCTTTCTGTCTGCATGTTTGCTTGCACACCAGAAGAGGGCATCAGATCTCATTATAGATGGTTGTGAGCCATCATGTGGTTGCTGGGGATTGAACTCAGGACCTCTGGAAGAGCTGCCAGTGCTCTTAACCTCTTAACCATCTCTCCAGCTCCTTAAATTTGTCTTTTTTTAGGAAATATATTTTTACCTAAGTTTTATAGATACATGTCTAACTTGGCCCCAATATTGGGAGCTTGTGAGATATATGCATAAATATGTATATCCATTTCCTTGTCTCATCTCTGCATCTTTAGCACTTAGTAATCAATACTAAAGATTTGGATGAATGAAGACCACTCAGTAAATTTTTTTTTTGTTCATGATACGTTAGATTTTATGCTCTTTTCCCCCTGCTTTCCATATATTCTAGTTTTGAAAAGTTGAGAATTAGAGTTTTACAGGGCTGGACTGAGGTCCAAAGAGGTTCTGTTGCCTAACTGAGGTAGAGCCTTGTGGTTATTTTTGTTTTGAATAATGAATATATCTCTTAATGTAAAATGTAGAATAATACAAAAAGGTTCATACACAGAGGCCATTCTCACTCTTAACCCTACTGTCTTATCCCTAACGGTACCCTGCCCACCTTTGGATCATGGGTGTGTTCCATGAGAAGCCCCTTCACCTCCAGATACACACTGATGAATGTGGTGGCTAGTCTAGAACCACAGTGTCTTCTGAGAAGCCTGTTCAGGAGCCACACCCTCCCCCAGGTCACCTCCTTTGGCATTCATGAATCGACAGTACCCTTCTTACCTATGTCCTTGTACCTGCTCTTTTAAATAAGCCCGCAAGTTTTTTGTTTGCTTGTTTGTTTGCATCACCTCCAGAATAGACAAGCTTCTGGGTATCAACTTATCTCTGATCAGCTTTGGTGACTTCATTGTTTATGTTCACCTGACCTTTTTGTCACAGTGGAGAACACTAGAGGCAACCTTTTTGACCATATGTATGTATGAGTGTTGTCCCGAAGGGAAAGAGCCACATAGAGAACTTCCTTGCTGAGTGTAGCTTGTTTTGTGCTGCAGTTTAACCAGTCCTTATTGGTGGTCAGGCTCAGAGTGTATTTTCTCTTCCTCAAGGGTTTGCAGCACTTTGTATTCTGTCAGTGAGAAGGCCTGTGTGCTTGTACCTTAGCCAGCGGATGCTCAGACATTCGTACTCTCCTGATCTCATAGGGGAGGAACATCTTGGTGGAAGTTGAGTGTCTTTTCGTGTTTAAGGGCATTTGACTTTTCTTTTTCTGTTAATCCGTGTTTCCCTACAAGTTTGTTTGTTTGTTTGTTTGTTTTTTAATTGATTGACTCTTGCAACAACTAGAAAAATTTGTCGCGGCTGTTGTCCTCATCCATTTCAGCACACCTTCATCATGTTATGTAGCCTCTATTAGTTCTGAACTCATCATGTAGCTGGTCTTGAACCTGTGATTGTCCTGCCTCAGCCTCCCACATGCTGGGGTTACAGGTGTGTATCCCCACTCCTGGTTTAAGGTTAGTTTGTGATTTTTTTGTTTTCCTTATCAGTTTATCTTTGATTTTTATCAGTCTTGTTTTGTATGATTTCATGTGTTTTTTTTTAAGATTTATTTATTATGAATACAGTATTCTGTCTGCATGTATGCCTGTGGGCCAGAAGAGGGCACCAGATCTCATTACAGATGGTTGTGAGCCACCAAGTGGTTGCTGGGAACTAAACTCAGGACCTCTGGAAGAGCAGCCAGTGCTCTTAACCTCTAAGCCATCTCTCCAACCCTAATTTCATGTTCTTGATCCTGGTAGTCATACTTACTACTTCAGATAATACATGTTGTACGTTCCTGAAAAGATTAGTTCATTCCTGACTTTGACTTAATGCACTTAAGATTTGAAATCTTCCCTCAACAGACACGGCATCAACGAGGAGATACACATCCTTTAACTTTGGAAGAGATTTTGGATGAGACACAGCACTTAGATATTGGACTCAAGCAAAAACAATGGCTAATGACTGAGGTAAGAATAGACTTAAAGTTGTTGTATAAAAATAGTTAATTACAAAAAGGGGTGTTTGCTACAGTTATCTAGAGTTGGTTCTTTTTTCGGGAGCGAGGGAGCGGTGCTGGAGACGGAACTCAGGGCCCAGCTAGGACATCCCACTACAGATAGAGCACTCTACCATTGAGTCATCGCCAGCCTCTGTGTGTGTGTGTGTGTGTGTGTGTGTGTGTGTGTGTGTGTGTGTGTGTGTGTGTGTGTAGTTGGGGAGAAAGGGGCAGGAGTCAGGGTCTCATTTTATAGTCCAAGCTGACTTCAGACTCACGGCAGCCTTCCTGTTTTAGCTTCATGAATCATGCCTGGCTCAGAGTGGTTTTTTTTTTTTAATAAATAATGTAATCTGGTAATATTTTTTACTTTACTTTTTCTTAAAAGACTTGATGTCGAGCCTTTGTTTAATTTAAACATACACATTTCTATACTTTGTTTAGCTATTTTCCATAAAATTTCTTTAAACATTTTAAGGCTATATTAAAATTGTGAAGTCAGTGTACCACTTTTGTTTGTATGAATAGTATTTTGAATATTAAACTCATAACTTTATATGCCTGTAAATTGTGTATTGTATTTGTTTTATTTATTTAGCTTTGTTTTTCAAAACAGGGTTTCTCTGTGTAGCTTTGGAACCTGTCCAGGCTAGCCTCAAGTTCACAGTGATCCACGTACCTCAGCCTCCTAAGTGCTGGCATTAAAGGTGTGCACCACCACTGCCTGGCTCTGTATGTGCTTTAGAAAATTTAAAAGCTTACCACATTAGGGACAGTAAAACATTTATTATGTTGTTACCGATGTATAGTTTCATAGTGAGTCATCTCTAGTTTCTTAGGCAATTGATTGCATATGTTATGTCTAAACATATGTACCATTCAAAGAGAGCCTGAAACAGTCGCCGACCGGGCCAGTTTGCAAGTGAAAGACATCTCATCTGTTTGGGTGTTTGTTCTTTACATTGTTGCTGAAGAGTACTAGTTTTCAGGACCAGTGGTAGCAGTCTGAGGAGCAGATGTAGCCAGGATGCAGTGGTGCCATCTGTAATCCCAGCTATGAGAGGGAAGGCAGGAGATGGGAAGTTCAAGGGCATCATTAACTCCAGAGTGAGTTCAGAGCTGGTCTGGGCTACAGTTAAAATTAAGAAAACAAACAAAAGCAACCAAACAAACAACACAATACCCCCCAAATTACCAGATGTAATAATTTCATTGATTTATTTGAGACAGGGTCTCAGAGATCTTCCTGTGTTTGTCTCCTGTTTCAGAAGACTCTAGCTTGTGTCAAGTTGAAATAAAACTAGCCAGAAGCACAGCCTATGTTTCTGGGTCGTGTGTTAATAAACAGACTCATCAGATCATGGCAGGTGTGGTTCTGTTTTTGTAATATAAAATAATTTGAGCAAGCCCAAACATTGGAGGTCATAGTGTTCTGTCAGTTATTTGGCCATTGCTTGAAGCAGAACCTGCCTGAGATCATTGGTTTTTTGTTTTATTCTTTACGTTTTGGGTTTCTTTTTTTTTTTTTTTTTCCTCAGACAGAGTATCACTGTGTAGCCCTGGCTGTCCTGGAACTAAACTGTGTAGATCAGGCTGGCTTCAAACACACAGATCCACCTGTCTCTGTCTCCAGACTGCTGGCATTAATGGTGGGCGTAACCAACAGCTCCTGGCCTAAGTGTTTCTCTGTTGTATAGGCTGGCCTCACACTTGGCAGCAGTCTCTAGCCTCAGCCTCCTAAATGCTGAGACTATAGGTATGAGTCACTACGACCAGCTTATACCTATGATTTTTAACTTAAAAATGTTTAAACATTGCCGTGATGTTCTCCCATTAGAATGCCAATATATGATAGAGGAGGGATGGGCATACAATGTTCACTGTGTCATTAAAAGGTTATTTTATTGATTCCTACTCAGTTTGTCCTCTAAAAGAATAAAGGTTCTTCAAAGAAACTGTGATAAAATGAATTTTCTCTCTAAAGAATGTATGTAAATAGTGTACGATGTGGTTGGAGTTTTCTTTGGACTGCCAGCTCACAAAGACACATGAAAGCTGACTTCAGCGTAGGCTTGTCCCACTAGCTCTTACAACTTAAGTTGGCCCGCTCCTATCAGTCTGCTTTACCTTGTGCCTTTTGCCTTTCATCCTTATATCCCATTCCCTCAGTGCCCTTCTCTGGTGTAATCTGCACACCTAGATTCCTTCTCCTCTTCCTCTTTCTCCCTGAAATCCCACATACCCTCCCTGCCTAGCTGGTGGCTGTCCAGCTTTTTATTTACACCAACCACAGCATCCCATCTTCTCAGTGTTCACATGTCCCGCAACAGTACAGTTTTTTCTTCTTAAATAAGAAGCAAGCACTATGCTGGTCACCTCTTCTGGGATCCTGGATGTTTATACTTTAGCTCTGCTAGTGTATGTTCCAAAGATACTTCAATTTCCCCCTGTGTTGGGCAATATTAGAATGTAAGAGCATACACATGAGGTTTCCTTTAGTAAATATAACCTAGTTGTGGTGTTCTCACAGGCTTTAGTCAACAATCCCAAGATTGAAGTCATAGATGGGAAATACGCCTTCAAACCAAAATACAACCTGAAAGATAAGAAGGCCTTGCTCAGACTTCTGGATAACCACGACCAGCGAGGGCTCGGAGGGATCCTGCTAGAGGACATAGAAGAAGGACTCCCTAATTCCCAGAAGGCAGTCAAGGTACTGTCTCTCTCTCATTTTCTTCCTATGTTGTTACTGTGATTTGCATTAGTAATGTTGTCTTTTTTTTTTCTGCTTGAGGCAGGGTTTCACTATGTAGTCCTGGTTGTCCTGGACTCAGATCTGTCTGCCTCCACCTCCTGAATGCTGGTACTAAAAGTGTGTGCCACCATGTGCGGCTTCTTATGTTTTTATGTATGCGTTTGTGTGTATCTGCCATGTATGTGTGAGTGCTCGAGGAGAGGGTGTGGATTCTCCAGAGCTGAGCCTACTACAGGAACTGTGAGTGTTGCTGCTGGGAACTAAACTTGGATCCTTTGGAAGAACAGCAAGGGCTCTTACCCACTGAGTCATCTCCAGTCCCCTCTTTGAGGTTTTAAACATTTAAAAAGCAAAATTGAGTTATTTTTAAAGCCTTTATCATGTGTGTACATGGGGTTTTAGCCATCCAGTTAAAATCTGAACTTTGTGAAGCTGGAGAGGTGATGGCTCAGCAGTTAAGACTACTTGCAGAGGACTTGGGGTTTGTTCCCAGCACCCACATGGTAGTTAATGGCAGAGTCTAGCTCCAGGTCCCAGGGATCGGATTCACTCTTCTGACCTCTGAGGGCACTAGGCATACACAGGATGTGCATGTATGCATTCTGAAAAACACTCATAACACAGAAAACAATCCAAAATACTTAAAAATAACTTTGGGACTGGAGAGATGGCTCAGAGGTTAAGAGCATTGACTGGCTGCTCTTCCAAAGTTCCTGAGGTCAGTTCACTTACAACCATCTGTAATAAGATCTGGTGCCCTCTTCTGGTATGGATGAAAATAAAGCTCTCATATACATAAAATAAACAAACAAATATTAAAAAAAAAACAACTTTGCTCTGTGCCACAGAGCAGAAAAGAGAATAATCATCTTTGTGTGATATTGACAGGTTTTTTTTTATTTTGTTTTGCGTTTATGTAGTTGCATCACTATTTGATTCATCAGACGATTTCTAGGAAGTTTTCTCAGAGACATTAGTGTTTCTCTTGTAACAATAGTAGTGTTAGATAATGCTTTCCCAAGAAACTAGATTCATTAAAACATAATAAAGTCATTGCTTAATAACCTGTCTGTTCTGATATCCTGAAAGTGTTTGCAGTAAAAGTTATGATCATGAAGGTTGCGTTTTCCAATTAAATTTGAGTCTTTTGCAAAAGCTGCTTGTTGCCATTGTGTGTTAGGCATAGTTAGTGCTGTATTACACACACACCTTCATGTTCTTTGACAGATGTCTAAGAAGTCAGAAAGTATCCTTAAAGATAGAATTGCTGAAAGCAGAAATTTAGTTTAAACTTGAGCGACATGTATCATAAATATAATATCCATTTTAAATGATTAACTTTAGTTTATTTTTTCTCTTTAAGGCTTTAGGGGACCAGATACTGTTTGTAAATCGTCCTGATAAGAAGAAAATACTTTTCTTCAATGATAAAAGCTGTCAGTTTTCTGTGGATGAAGGTGAGCCATTCTGTGTATGTAAAATTGCAAATATATCACAATTTAAAAAAAAAAAGATTTATTTATTTATTATGTATCAGTGTTCTGTCTACATGTATGCTGCAAGTCAGAAAAGGGCAACAGATCTCATTACAGATAGTTGTGAGCCATCATGTGGTTGCTGGGAATCGAACTCGGGACGTCTGAAGAGTTCAAGCAGCCAGTGCTCTGAACCACTGAGCCATCTCCCCAGCCCTGTTTTTTGCTTTTGTTTTTATGAGATAAGGTTTCTCTGTGGATGTTTTGGACCTCAATCTGTAGACCAGGCTGGCCTCAAACCACATAGAGATCTGCCTGCCTCTGTCTCCTGAGAGCTGGAATTAAAGATGTGTGCTACCACCGCCTGGCTCAGGATATCACGATTTTAAGGTGATATGGCTTGCAATACTTAGAGTTGTGATTTAATGTTGTGTTTGTGGGTTCTTTAGCATTACCATCTCTTAGCTCATAGCTCAAAGACTCTCATCTATCATGTCACATCTTATGCTGACTCAAAACTGGGAATGGTGGCACATGTTTTTAATTCCAGCACTTGGGAGGCAGAGGCTCAGTGAGTTCAAGGCCAGCCTGTTCTATATGGCTAGTCTAAGTCATTCAGGGCTTCATAGTGAGGCTATCTTATAAACAAAAGTAGTTTTAAAGAAAACATATTCCCTTATTCTTAGGCACAATGATATCCATTTTGGGAAAACAAAACATAATTCTTAATAACTTACATAAATATATGTTCAAATACAAAAAGCAGACATGGTTGTCCTTTTGTAGATCTGGCTCCTTGTTTCATTTTCTTGAGATGGGATCTCTCACCATGTAGCTCAGCCTGGCTTTGAACTCCATATTCTCCTGCCTCATCCTGCTGAGTGCTGGCATAAGAAACCATGAACTAGGACAGAGATGACTCAGTGGTTAGAGCACTGACTGCTCTTCCAGAGGACCTGGGTTTGATTCCCACATACAGATCCAGTCACTTTCTTTTTCTTTTTGGTGGTTACTTCTTTGGTTTTATTCTGGATTATTCTGGCCTTGTTCCCTCCCCACCCACTCCATATTGCTCTCTCTAGCAGTGGTTCTCAGTCTTCCTAATGCTGCAGCCCTTTGATACAGGTTCTCATGATGTGGTCACCCCCAACCATGAAATTATTTTTGTTGCTACATCATAACTTTTGCTATTGTAATGAGTTATAATGTAAATATCTGTGTTTCTATGTTCTTAGGGACCCCTGTGAAAGGATCATTCAACTCCCAAAAGGTTGAGAACCATTGCTCTATAATATGCTGATGTTGCTTCTAGTTTCTCAGTTTTATACATTGTCTAATGACACTCCTTTTAAAATTGTTATTCTCTTGTTTTTTTTTTTTTTTTTTTTTTTTTTTTGAGACAGTGTTTCTCTGTGTAGCTCTGGCTGTCCTGGAATTTGCTGACCAGGCTTGCCTTGAACTCATGTAGATCCACTTGCCTATGCTTCCCGAGTGTGACTAAAGGTATGGGGCACCGGGCTGGAGAGATGGCTCAGAGGTTAAGAGTACTGGCTGCTCTTCCAGAGGTCCTGAGTTCAATTCCCAGCAACCACATGGTGGCTCACAACCATCTGTAATGAGATCTGGTACCCTCTGCTGGTGTGCACGGATACATGCAGGCAAAAGGCTGTACAAATAATAAATCTTTAAAAAAAAAAAAAAGGTATGGGGCACCATGCCTGGCTTAATTTTGGTTAACATATAGAAATGGATTTTATTGTAATATTTTTTACATACAAAGGTAATCTTTTATTCCTCTTCATCCTCAGGAGGGGAGGGAGGGAGGGAGAGAGAAAGAATGTGTATGTATCTGGGTATTGAACCCTGGGGATGGGGTTAGGGAAAGGAAGGGTGTGCATGTGTGCATGCATGTGTGTTAAACCAGGGCCTGAAGTTTGCTAGGCAAACACTACCACTGAGCTCTCTGTCAAGTCCTCTAATGATATTCTTATCTCTCTATTCCAGTATCTCTTTCTCTTTGACCATCATAATTATAAGCTAGCTTAAGTTTATTCAACTTTTGCCTTGGCATCTTCCACATAGTCACACAGTCTCAGTCACAGTTTTTAGTGTGATGCCTGCTCTACAGATGGCAGCATAGGGCAGCATGCCTGCTCTGGAAGATGTTTGAGGTGAGGTGAGTGAGTGACTGAAAAGAAATTGGAATAACCGGATGGCAAGAAACTAGAACTTGTTGATAGCAGTTTGTGGAGCCATTTCAGGAATATTCTTTCTGTTTAGTAGTCGTGGGACCACATATTCTTAAAATCCTCTGCTAAACTATTAGTGTTTCCTGTCTCTTAAGTGCTTTTTCGGAGAATATCATTGCTTAGCTTTATTTAACCATTTTGTTTGCATGTCTTTTACTTGCACTTACATTATTTAATATTGCATCTAGTTTAGTTTGCCATTTTATATGTCCTTAGTTGATCTAAAATCTTATTGTTTGGCTGACAGAGATAAATGAAAGATTTTATTCACGCTCCTAGATTGTAAGTAAGTAGTTGATGATGTAAATATGTATTTCCATATAAAACCAATTGAAAACTATAGATTTTGGATATGCGGTATAGTAGTAGAGTGTTGGCCTTGCATATATGAAGCTCTGAGTTCAAACCCTAGCCCCGTACCCCCCTCCTCATTCATGGCACATTTTGGTATCTGTCTTTGATATAGTTGCATCAACGGTGATGTGTGTTTTAGCCCACTAGGTGTCAGTCTCCCATGTAGAGCAGAAATGCTCTTGAAAGAGCAGGTTTCAAGCAAGCTAAAGATCACCCTTAATTTTGTCTATAGTAAAAGGACATAGCCTACAGTTTGTTCTATAGTTATTTTCTTAATCAGAAAAGTAAACAGCATTTGGACCAAGGTATGTGTTTTATTTCATGAAGGCATGTATCTCCTCAAACCAGACTCTTACTCATTTAGATGTACTGTGAATGTCAGTGGTCAAGACTGCATGAAGGAGAGCAGTCCAAGGAGTCATCTGTAGCTTAGGCAAGATCTCCTTTCTGTACGTGGAAATGATGGTGTCTTTAGCTTGTGACTCTATGAGTTAAATAAAAGGGAACCTGGCACATAGGTAGCACATAGGAATTGCTAGCTGCTAGTAGTAGTATTGAAAATACAGTGTCTAAAATCTTCATGCCTGTCTGGCTACTTGTCACCTTGACTCAAGGTTTTTTAGTTTTATGTTTGATTAGTCAGATAGGAAAGAAGGATCAATTTCAGTTGCTGGGCTGCAGTTGCAACCCTCTGCTGCAGCTCCATAGTGGCTTTTGGTATTTCTAATGAGAATCCCAATATCTGACTCTCCAGTGCTGACTTTTTTTTTTTTTTAGAGACAGGGTTTCTCTGTATTGTTTTGGAGGCTGTCCTGGAACTCACTCTGTAGACCAGGCTGGCCTCGAACTCACAGAGATCTGCTTGCCTCTGCCTCCCGAGTGCTGGGATTAAAGGCATGCGCCACCAATGCCCGGCTCCAGTGCTGACCTCTTTATTGAGGTTTTTACTTTATTAGTTTTTATCTGTTAGGGTTTTTGTTGCTGTGAAGAGACACCATGACTACCACTGCAACTCTGATTTCAGAGGTTCAGTCCATTATCATCATGGTAGGGAGCATGGTGGCATGCAGGCAGACATGGTGCTGACTACATCTTGACCAGGAGGCAGCAGGAAGTTGACTGAGACACTGGGTGGTATCCTCAGCATAGGAAACTTCAAAGTCCACCCCCACAGTGGCACACTTTCTCCAGCAAGGCCATTCTCACTCCAATGAAGCCACACCTCCTAGTAGTGACACTCCTATGAGATTGAGGGCCAATTACATTCCAGCTATCAGCTGGTAACTTTTTTAATTGGAAGTTCAAACTGATTCATCTTTATCCTTAGAGTTCAAGATTCCTTCTAGTAGTTACCAGTTTTGAGACCTTACTTTTGAATTCTGCTGCTCTTCTTTTTTTTTTTTTTTTTTTGAGACAGGGTTTCTCTGTGGCTTTGGAGGTTGTCCTGGAACTCGCTCTGTAGACCAGGTTGGCCTCGAACTCACAGAGATCCGCCTGCCTCTGCCTCCCGAGTGCTGGGATTAAAGGCGTGCGCCACTAACGCCCGGCTTCTGCTGCTCTTCTAAATGGCTATTTAGTTTTATTTTTACAGTGCTGTGAATGGAACCTAGGGCTTTGAGCATGTTGGGCAGGCCTTTTTTCCCTCCCTCCACAAAAAATGACATCTTAGACCACAGCACTATTTTTAATACTTGGTAACATTTGTTTCATACATGCATGTACTTTAGCACAAATTTTATGTACCCCTGCAGAAAGTTTTATTTATTTTGCCATGTGCTGTTATAAGTGATGCTTGGTGTCATGCATACATATACCCATTTTGTTTTGTTTGAGGCAGGTCCTTTTACATAGCCCTAGCTGTCCTGGGACTCACAGAGATCCACTGCTTCTGTCTCTTGAGTGCTGGGATTAAAGGTGTGTGCTCATGCCCTGCTTACATATGCCCATTGTCTTGAAGAGGAATTTTATTGGGTCAAAAAGACATACGTAAACAGATCTCAACATCTTGTAAAATATCCATGGTGAACTTTGTAGTACATAGTCTATCTTTGTCTGTGTTATCTACCTACATTCTACCTATATTTTTAAAAATTTTCCTCATTTACTTTTCTCATTTCTGTGACTAAATACCTCACAGTAGCTAAAAGCAACTTAGGAAGGGTTTATTTTGGTTCATAAATTAAGATAGAAAGAAAGACAAGGACAGGCAGACAGACAGATAAAGGCTATCATGTCAGGGAGGCATCGCACCAGGACTTCCAGACAGCGCGTCACATTGTGGCAGCTGGTTTTTTTACTCTGCCTGGAAACCCCAACCCTTGAAGATACATTCAGGGTGGGTCTCACCTTGAAGCTGATCGTAACTGTCAGCTTGGCACACTGAGAAAGGGGCACTTCAGTCTGAGGAATTGCAGGGTGTGGGGTACTTTCTTGATTGGTGATTGGTGGAGGAGAGATTAGCCTGATGTGAGTGGTATCATCCTTGGATCCTAGGTAGTGGTCCTTGAACACAGGTTGCAGGGAGCAAGCCAGTAAGCAGTCTTGCTGCTTTGGCTTCCCACAGTGTTGGACTGTAAGCTGAAAGCAGAAATAAAATTTTCCTCCTGCTTGTTTTTGGTCAGTGTTTGTCGCAGTGACAGAAACCAGAACAGCTATTCTTTAGATATGCCTTCACAGATATAACCACAAGTGCATCTTGTAGATAATTCCAGCTCTAGTCAGACCAACAGTGAAGATTGTTTGCCTGCCTGCCCACTACTTACCTGTCTGAGAGAAGGCGGGTCTGCTCCTGAGCCCAGTCTCCCAAATCCCAGTACCAACAGTAGACTAGTGTAACAGTGAAGTCCTTTAAAAGTTTGAAGAATATACAGGCAGACTATAGGAGGGACAGCATAAAGGGGAAAGCCAAGATTAGAGGTTAGTAGCCACTGACAGATACTGCTGGAAAACCAGATACTGTTGAGAACCCATGAGTGGCTTAGAGAATTGGAAGCTAGTGGTTCATTATGGATAGAGATAGCAGAAGAGCTTGCTGACCAGGCTTACTTCCTGACTAGATTGACTCAATCTCTGCAGGCTTGGCAGCAGGAAAGGCGTTCCCATTTCCAGGCATACAAACGATTTACTTCTGATTCCAGCTGTGCCACAGAGGGTGTCTGCTTAAAAGAAAAAATAAAGCATAACGAGAGAAAGGGAAACAATACACTGTTGATACTAGGGCAAAATTCTTTTTTTTGTTGTTGTTGTTGTTTGTTTTTTTCTAGACAGTTTCTGTGTAGCTCTGGCTGTCCTGGAACTCACTATATAGACCAAACTCTCCTCCAACTAAGAGGTTCTCCAGCCTCTGCCTCCCACGTGCTGGGATTAAAGGTGTGCACTGTCACTGCCTGGCTGGAACCAAATTCTTAAGATACAGATGTTTGAACTACTAGATAGAGAATTAAAAACAACTGGTCTTCTAAGTAACTGATAATGCTATCTAGTAGAGAAGGCCAGACCAAACTGTATGATGGAGTAGAATATTTCAACTAAGGCTTCAGATGAAAAGTCAGTGGCAGAGCTGAAGAATGGTGGCTGCAGTAGCCTGTCAACATGATGTGACCAAGTGAAAAACTAAAGCTGAGATACAAACAGAAGAAAGTGCAAAACTAAACAAAACAAAAAAACCCTAAACCCAGCATCCTTGAGTTGTAGAACAGTATCAGATGGTCCTAATATATCATTTAAATCTGAAGGAGAGAAAGGATGGAAGAAATACTTAAAGAGCATGGTCAAGATTTTCCAGAATTAATTGCATCAAACCAGGATGGATGTAAGTCATGAGAACACAGGATAACCCATCTCTCTCCAAAGAAGCAAAGAACAGAACGACACCCAATGTACTTTGAACTGCTGAAGACTGAAGATGAAGAAAAAATATTGAAGACAGTGAGAGGGGGAAAGAATCATTACAAAAGAATAAATAATTACAACAGAGCTCTTAAAAACTATGTGTGAGCCTGGCGTTGGTGGCGCACGCCTTTAATCCCAGCACTCAGGAGGCAGAGGCAGGTGGATCTCTGTGAGTTTGAAGCCAGCTTGATCTATAGTGCGAGTTCCAGGACAGGCTCCAAAACAATACAGAGAAACCCTGTCTGGAAAAACCAAAAAAAAAAAAAGAAAAGAAAAGAAAAAAACCTGTGTGTGTGTCTGTGTCTGTTTTTCTTTTTGTCTGTCTGTCTGTCTTTCTTTAATCTATGTTGAGTTGACTCTAGCTTGGTCTACAGAGCTAGTTCTAGGACAGCCAGGGGTACACACACAGAAACCCTGTCTTGGGGCAGAGGGGGAGAAAGAAAAGAAAAAAGAAAAGCCACCTGAGATATTTATTTTAACTCATGTTAAGGTAATCCTTTCTATACTCTATATTCGGTTGTGTAGGTTGTTTCTGTGTCTCTGTGCTGCTTTGATTACTATAACTGTGATGTGGTTTGTGGTCATGTTTGTTGCCTCCAGCTCTGTTCCTTTTAGTTTAGGATTGTATCCTAGTCTTTTGTTAAGTGTCACAGATTGGGTGAGTTACAAAGAAAAGAGGTGTACTCAGGGCCTTCTTCCTGGTAGAGTTCTGGGGTACTGTGGGGTATCATGTGTTGAAGGTGTGGGAATATGCCAAATAGTAGCTGATCTGGCTGTATGAACTCTGACCCTTGAGATAATGCATTAGTCAGTATGCATGTATTCACAAGGGTACAGCCTTAGTCACCATTTGTTTGTTTTAGAATAAAAGTTTGAAAAAAAATTATTATCTTTTTTTTTTGTGTGCATGGGTATTTGCCTACATGTATGTCTGTGTACCGCATGTGAGCAAGGTCATGGAGTCCAGAAGAGGACATCAGAGCCCCTAGAATTTCGGTTGTGAGCCACTGTGTGGGTACTGGGATCAAATCATGGGTTCTCTGCAAGAATAGTGTAGCCACTGAGCTGTCATATAGCTTACAGATGGAGTGTGTGACAACCCACAGGAGGGTTAATGGACTGGCAAGGAAGGAAGGGGCATGTTGGTGTAGTGGTTGGGATAGTAGTCAAGCCTGCAGCCTCTGAGCTGTGGTAAACAGGAAGCCTTGTGAACCCCTTCAGTATTGGGAGCCAACCTTTCTCAGTTCTCAGAGTACACACTTGGTTGTTACTCTGTGTGTGTGTGTGTGTGTGTGTGTGTGTGTGTGTGTGTGTGTGTGTGTGTGTGTGTGTGTAAAGACTGACAAGGCTGTTAATGACCAAGCTTAGGGCCTTGAACCAGTATTTGAAGAGTTTGCCCCACAAGGAAGGATCTGGTTTTGGGAATAAAAATGTTAACTGCTTATCTTTCCCTGGAAGATGGGAGAAGCTTAAGCCACACCTCCCTTGTCTTACTGTTTCTGAAGACTAGAGCACACTGGTGGCTGTCCTGCTGCCTTTCAGATCAGAGACCCCCTTCTGTTGCTGTGTCCAGCACTGGAATAGTCTTGCCTTCTCTTCCCCCCCTTTCTTTTTTGAGACAGTGTCTCACTGTGTATCCTGTCTGCATTGAATTTGCTGTGTTAGGCCTGCCTGTCCTTGAACTCACAGAGGACAGCCTGCTCTGCCTCCTGAGTGCTATGATTAAAGGTATTTGTTTTTTAGTGAAATCTCAGTTGTGCGAATTTAGGCCCAGAGGAGATAATATTCAAGGTGGACTTAGATCACAAGACACAATGGTTTATAAAAGTCCATGGTAAAATAACTACTAACTTGTTGGTTTAGAATTCCAGAAACTATGGAGGAGCGTCACTGTGGATTCAATGGATGAGGAGAAAATTGAAGAGTATCTCAAGCGACAGGGTATTTCTTCCATGCAAGAATCTGGACCAAAGAAAGTGGTATGTCATCTTTAGAAAAGCGGTTTAGTCCCTTCTCTGCTTCTCATCCTGCTCTGACAAGTGAGGAGGGGATTGCTTCTCCTAGGCTTTCTCTGAGCCTAATGCATTGACTTGCCAGATACAGCCGGGCATATCATGTATTGAGGCCAGTAAACCATTCATGGTGATGTCCAGGCCTGGGAGAGCTTTCTCATCATCGTCAGCACGTCCCAGCAGCAGCCTGAGCCCCAGCCACGCCCCTCCCTCAGGACTAAGTTTCTCACTCTCACCCTGTACACAAAAGAAGCCACGTCTTCATGTCTTCATCTGGCGCTCTTTCTTAGACCTCCATTGTCCCTCCCCTTTCCCCTTCATACGGATGCCTTGGTGGCGTTGTCATACCCTGACGATACTGAATTGTCCTGTTTTAGGAACCATACACGTTTGTCCTTCACTTGTACTCACAGGGGATAGTAAAGTGAAGGCTGGTAAACCCTCTATGCCTGGCAACCACTAACCTGTAGTTCAAGAACAGCCAGGGCAGAAAAAACTGCTAGTACTCTAGACTTGGGGCTCTGCCCTCTCCACTTCCTCGAATGCTTTGTAGCTTTCTGGTTTTCCTTTTTTTTTTAAAAGTGGTTCTCTAAGAATCACTGGATAAAATAAAAAGAATTATTGTTGCTGGGCAGTGATGGCACATGCCTTTATTCGCAACACTTGGGAGGCAGAGGCAGGTGGATCTTTTTGAGTATGAGGCCAGCCTGGTCTACTGACTGAGTTCCAGGATATCCAGGGCTACACAGAGAAACCCTGTCTTGGAGAGGGGTAGAATACACACACACCAAAACCCTTAATAATTTATCATTGTTTATTTTCTAAAAAGTGATGTTTCAGGTATACAGAATAGAGAATATTGCAAAGCTCCATGTTCCTATGCTTTTTCTAGTTTTGTCATTTCTCAGTATTTTGCCGTATTTACTTAAGCTCATTTTTTAAAGCAAGAACTTTATTAGACTTGTTAGTAGAGCCAACACAGGGATTCACTGTCTCTTATTTTATTGACTCAGTGCCTAGCACAATTGTGTTATGCTTTTGTGTCCTGCCTGTTCACTCCAATGGAGGTTTGTGCCTTGTGGTATTGGGGCACCAGGGCTAGTTGGAGGCTGGGTGTGTGCTGTGCAAGGGGTGTGAGTCAGGACCCTCCAAACAGGAGAAAGGAAAGGGCTTCAGACCCTGGGTCTTTGCTGCTGGTCTCGGGTTGGTGTTTACTGTCTTACCTTTTCCTGCAGGCCTCTATTCAGAGAAGGAAAAAACCTGCTTCACAGAAGAAGCGACGGTTTAAGACGCACAATGAACACTTGGCTGGAGTGCTGAAGGATTACTCGGACATTACCCCTGGGAAATAGGCAGCATTTTAATCCTCAAACAAGGTTGCAGACATCGTTAAGGGTTTCCTCACGCTTGGGATCTGAAGACTCTGCCTTCTCACCTGCTCCTCAGGACTGAAGAGAGGAGCAGTTCAGTTTACAGAACAGGAGAGCATTACCAAACCCAGCTTTGTCACCCAGCAGGCTAGTGGGAAACGGTTCCTGTTAACTCCTGGGGTTGGTTTTTTCTAGAAAGACACTTAGCTTGGCATGCAGGTGTCTTTGTTTATCTTGATTTCTAGATGGTTCTTGATTCCTGTTTTCTCTATTGCTTTAGAACAGGTTGGCAGATAGTGCTGGATGCAATATTTCTTTATTCCAAGAGAAAATATTTATAATAAAATCATTTGTAGGAGGATCTTTAAGAAGTTAGGAAATTCAGTTTGTTTCTCTTAATTCTTAAAAATAGCAGGGAACAGTGGCAGTCACTGATTGCTGGAACAAGTATTTGGGACGTCACAAAGACTGGAGTCAGTACTGTTGGCAAGTGTGTGGGTTTCATCTTTGGAACACAGGGTATGACTGGTTAATAAGCTAAGCAATAAAATTACACTAAATGTAACTGTTAATGCTGTCTTTGAAAAGGCTCAGTAAGTATGTAGTAAGTTGGATTCATGATCTGCCGCCATCTGTAACAAGAGGGAGGAGACACTTGCCAACCTGAACATGCCCTTTACCATAGCCCAGGTGTCAGGGAGCTGTCCTGGCCATTGCTGGTGGAGGGACCCTCTGTCACCATATCAAGTATGTGTGAGTTTTTAGGGTTTTCACTTGACATTTTCTTACCTCCCCTTTCCTATGACTTGCCCTGCTCCCTTGAAACAGTGTTATTGGAATATAAAAACCAAGTTTAATATTCTCAAATCAGGCACAACAGCAGTAACCCAAAGCATTGGCTTCTGATGAATAATACTTCATATCCATTTTGTGTCCTTGGTATGCTTTACCTCTTACCTCTGAGCTCCAAAAGTATGGTCTAAGAAGATGTCACCCTCTGCCTCCCACCGTTTTGCTTTGTCCCTTAGGATTTTGCTGGTAAGGATCTATAATTTTTATGGCGTGGATTAGCTTCCCCATAAATGTGGAAACTCACTCATCCATGCTCTCAAGGCCTCCTGGATAGGTAGGTAGGTGCTCAGATACTTGCTTTACTTCCAGGCTTGTGTCTGGTGACTTCTAGCTAAACCTGCTCCTGTTTCTTTCCTAGGGACTGGCCTGATAATTGATTTTAATTTCTTACCTGTTCACAGAAACAAAGAAATTGAAATCTAGAAAATTTTAACTATTTTGCTAGTTGCTAAGCTTATAAATTCTATAATTTTGTTTTACTCACTTGTATCGTCTTGCAAGGGTCATTCCCCTTGGCCAGTAGCCTGTGTGAGTATTCTCTGTGCTGTGGTACTGGGGTGGCATCCCTGGATGAGATGTGCGGGAGTAGACAGTCCCGTGGGATACTTGAGAGCCTAATTGTGTTCAGTGGCTGTAATAAAATAGAATGGACTTTGGCAGCAGCTCTTCTGGGTGACTGAAGACACTCATCCAGAAATTCCAAGTGAAGTCTTGATCTCACCCTGCCAGTGGCTGCTGGATCTGCTGCCATTTAGAAGCAAGTGGGAATGGGCACGTCTGGGAGAGTTAAAAGGCTGAGACAGCCGCAGCCTTCAGTGCACCTCATGTATAATTCATTGCACTCACGAGAGGCTTTTAGGGCTAGTTAAGAGAATAGTTGCGCTTAGACAAAGTCTAAAAATGCACCTCTGGCTACTGCTGTCACAGCCTGTAAATGTGGTCAGGTGATGGTCAGACCCAGGGGATGGAGAAACACTCGATACTTGCTGGTGTGAGCACTCGGTGAAGGCAATGTAGGAACTTCAGTCCCAGTACTTGTGGCGGGCCTGCAAGTGTACAGCTCTGGATCTCTCTTGTGAGCTCTTTATTCGAAATCACTGGAGCGGAAGCCTGTTCTCAGTCTCACTTGAGGGACAAGGACTTGTGGATTTCTCAATTTTCCAATGTTTGTAATGGCAGTTTTCTGAGACATAGAAGATAAAACTTAGTGTCCCCCTTTCTTCCTAGTTGTTGCTTTACTTTGAAATGATTCGTTTTGGGGAAGGTTGGGTTTCTTTTTTAGCCGAATGTTGCTAACTAGCTGAGACTAGCTGTGTACATGGGACCAGCAACGACCTGTTTTTCATGGCATTGCTGTCTTTGGAGCTGCATGTAGGACAGTTGTTTCCCACTGGGTCTTTCCTGAGAGATCAGTAGGTGTTCATGAAAGGGAACTAATTTGGAACACCTGGCTCTGACTCGTCTTGTGAATTTGGGGAGAGCGTGTTGTGGAAAGACAAACTGGTATAGGGTCTGACATTGTGGCACAGCCTCTCTTCTGGTTCTAGAGCCAAAGCATTTTCCTTCATAAAAGTTTTTCCCCCAGAAATAAATACATGTGGCTGGCCCGTGACCATACCATCATAACCATGTCTGATCTTGGAAGCTGAGTGTGATCTGGCGTGGTTAACACTTGCACGGGAGAAATGTCTCTCTAGCAGATTGACAAAGGCCTTCTGGAAGTATGGGCTGCAGTATGACCCAGCCCCACTGGTTTGGAAGTTGGCTAGTACAGCCATGTGACCTGATGCTTTCAAGATGGGTGAAAGGCCAGTCACTTCTCACCTCACCAGAACACTGCATGCATATGGCTTTGGGTTCAAATCCCTAGAAACAAAACAAAAAAATATGAATGTTAAAAGTGATAACTGGCCAGGCACTTGGGAGGCAGAGGCACATGGATCTGAGTTCAAGGCCTGCCTGGTCTTCAGAGTAAGTTCCAGAATAGCTAGGACTACACAGAGAAACCCTGTCTCAAAAAATAAACTAAAAGAAAAAGTAACTAAGCAAACTATAGCCTGAATTTGGTAGGGCCAGTTCTAGAAATGTCAAAAAGCAGGTGTACTTTTGCACTTGGCTTTTTTAAGACACTGAACATGTTTGCCAAGTCCTTACACTGAAATCATGTGTTGCAGTTTTTGGAGAAAGATGCTCCTTTGTACAGGTAAACATTTTAATTTGAACATTATTTCAAATTATATTTAGGCCTGTTTTGTTCAAAAGACAACTTGAGTAAAATTTAAGCATCTGGTTTGATCGAGTTTCTAGCAGGTAAGGATTGGCAAGGGCCTGGCTTTGTAGTTCATTGACCTTGAATTTTCTACTCCCTGCCTCAGCCCCATGACTGCTGGGATCCCAAGGATGTGCTGCTGTACCCAGCTTCTAATTTGACATCAACAGAGAAAGGGGGCTTTTCAAGTGTGTAAGTAGAACATACCCCCTCTTCCCCTGCCCCGTTCACACCCCTTTTCTAAGAGAGGACTGTATATGAACAGTGGAGAGCAAAAGCCTCAAGTTGTCATAGTTTGTGAAAAGACTTCCCTCCTCCCCCAGTAAAGCAGAAAGTTACTGTGGCTTATTTCCCCAGGCGCACTAGGAGACAACTCATGGGTATCGCTGGGTTATGAAAAAGTTCTTGCATGGGGCTTCTTCTCAGACTTTTGAATCTAGCCAGAGCAGGGTAGTTGGTATTGGCAACATTAATCCTGTATGTGTGTTCTGCAGGGGTGGTAAATAGAAACTTGACAACATGCTCTAATTTGAACATCTTAATCAAACTGCCAACTGAATATGGTTTGTTTAGCACCAGTCATTAAAAGTTTTAAGCATTTTGAGTACAGGTATTTCGGGGACCACCATGTCATTAACGTTCTCTAGCCTTCAAGAGTGTTATGAATTGTTTTGTCATAGAGCGTATAACACTGGTTTAAAAGTTAAAGAGAATATCCATTATGGGATTATGCAGGGGAGAGTGCTTTTTCAGTGAACAGTTGGCTAACTCTGTGGTTGAGAAAGAATTGAGTGTTGGTTATGCTTCCTCGTTCTTTAGTACAGGTAATGCTTATAGTCCTCTTGCTTTAGCCTTCTTGGTGCTGCAATTATAGATCTGCACCATGTCTGGCTAGTTCTTCCGATGCCTGGTGGAATGGGGCCATACTAGTTGCAAAGTCTCATGAAATAAGGGCAGATACACAAACATTGGGTCCAGTGATTAACTAGAGGTGTTCTCATTTCATATCTTAATATTCTCAATACTCTTAAGTTGAAATTTAGTTGGGGGGTATTTAATTCTAGATACTAGTTTTATAATTAATCTTGTGTTCCTAAGGAGAGTCCATTTGGCTTAGTTACTATTTTTTTGAAAATATATAATTGAGATTTCATGTACCCTTTCCTAATCCCAAGTTACTGGTTCCCAAAGGCCCTGCACTCATTTCTGCTCAATGGTGACAGAAGATACTCTAGAGAAAGTTAATGAAGTGGGTGTAAACTGCTTGCTCAGTGGAAATTAGACACACCATACAGGCATGCAGGCTTGTCCTTGCACATAGCTACGCTCAGAGCATCCCGAGGCCTCTTGTGGAAAATGTATACAGAAGTGCCTGCTTCGGATGGAGACAGCTTGGGGTAGTGACGCGGCATTAGTGCCAGCTGTGAGGTAGTCTCTGGTGCCTTAGGGTTGGGACCTCACGGCCAGGCTGAAGGCAAAGCCACACACTATCAGTGTGCTCCATAGAACAATCTTAGACATACTTCCAAGAGCTGGAGTGCAACTGTGGAAGCTACGCTAGTCTTTCCCCATGCATGCCAAACAGTCAGAAAGCAGTGACTACGGCCTGGTTTGGATGGCTACTCTCTGGAAAACTAAGTCCTGAGCTGAAAATCAGGGCCTGAGACTGAAGGTCACTGGTGACTCCTGAACAGTTAGGAGGTGAGATGGGCTGGGATGCAGTCAGCTGGTAAAGTACTAGCCTAGCAGATCAGTAGAACCCTGGATAGCACTCCTGTGATCTCAGCACTGGGGAGGGGAGAGGAGGATCAGAAGTTGGCTACAGGGTCATCCTTGGCTACACAGCAAGTTTAATGTAAACCTGGGGTTCATATAAGAACTGGGCAGGGGGATTGTGGGAGCGTATATATACAATACTGTTATCTGGGCTGAGTCAGCATCCTCATTTTTCTAGACTGAACTGTTTTAGAAAATGGTTTAATTTTGTTTGTGTTGTATGTGCACTTTGTGAGGCTGCTTGAAGATGTTTGTATCCCATGGACCTCCAGGTACTGCTGTGAGTGACCAGATGTAGGTGCTGGAACCTAACCCCAGGCTTCTGTAAGAGCAGGAAGCTCTCCTGACTTCTGAACCAACTGTCCCCCACAGAATCCCCCTCCCCAGGGTCTCTCTGGGTAGCTCTGACTGTCTGGAACTCACTATGTAGACCAGGCTGGCTTGAATCTCAGAGGTCGGTCTGCCCCTTGGGATTTAAGGCACATGCCACTATGCCTGGCAGAATCTTGAGCTCAAACTTTGTAGGTGAGGGTAGATGGTACTCAGGTATGTGAAGCCCTCAGTGACTGACTCATGGGTGTGTTGGCGTTACCCTCTGACTCTCACTCTCTGAATCTTGCCTAGTTCTGCTACTGCCTGGAAATGGAAATCTTTGCATTGTGGGGCATAATTGGTTGATGTGAGTCAAGTTGCCAGACAACTGTGTGATAGCTGGAATAAACTTTTATTATTTTCTTTAAAAACGACAATAGAAAAGTACCTTTACACAGTTTATAAAAGCATAGTCGATGGTGGAGTGGCTGTCTTTTTAAAGCAAGGTGGCACTGAGGGCATGAGCAGTCCCAAACACCAACATGGACATCTTAAGTCCCCAGCTGTTGCCTGCCCCTTTGCTCGAGCTTTAATGAAAGGCCCTTACTCCAGGCCTTAGTGTTTCCTTTTCCTTTTTCTTTTTTTAATAACCTGTAAAAACTTGACATTATTGATTCTAATGAAAAATAATACCCCCAACCAATGATATAATCATTAAAACATGACGTTTCCAACACAACACAAGCAGATCAGTAACAAAGATACAAAGATTGTGATTATGTCTAGCTATATCAGCAGCTGAAAATTCTGAGGTCAATAGAGTATTACACGTGGCTCTTGTCTGAGGAGCAGAAGCCCCTGGAAATCTGTTGGTCTACAACAGAAGACAAGAAGTCTTGCAAATGGCCATGGTTACCTGTCCCACCCAGTGCAATGTAGTGGATAGGCTCAAGATACTCGAGCACACAGTATTCTGGAGAATATGATGGACGGCCGCCAGGCTTTAGAACACCAGCTCAGATAGGCCTGTACCATGCAGATTCACTTAAGATGTGATGCCTGTTGCAGCCAAGCAAGCTGGGTGGGTAGCCTGTCTCTCCCGAGGCCATGTTGGCCTCAGGGGTCCAAACCAAGGTCCTTCACTTAGTGAGGTGGACCATGGTTCCACTGGGGACGTGAGAACCGTGTGTGGAAGGTGAGTGATATATTAGGTCACACACTCTGAGGGTGCTATCACAAACGATAAGAACGTAATAAATACAAGTGAGGCAATACCTCACTTGGCACAGTTTGTGTTTTTGCAGCAGAGCTGCCATGGTTTTCAGATGGTACACTGTGCTCAGGAGGCATGGCCTAAGTAGTAGTCTTTGCCCAGTTGTGAATACAAGAGGATGCCACATGCTCCTGGGGGCTTTGATTGTCTTGCAGAGCTCAGTTCTACACCATGTTACTAATGTGCCCTGACTCTGGGCCAGGCAGATGGAGTCCACACATTCACAACACAATTGTGGAAGTTCCGATGCTATTCAAAGACATGACTCAAACGTGCAGCTTATTAGGAGAAAAACATGATAAACATCATTAAAAGCATTCAAAAATGAAGCGCAAAAGTGAGCTAACCTAGTGTAAGAACTCATCCCGCCATTCTTAAAATGTCTGTTAGAAAAATACTAACCATCTTGGCTTTACTGTTGTCTTTGTTCTGAGGATGTCTCCAAACTGTACAGCAATGTCAGACCATGCATTCACAAATAACACGTATTTCTTAAAATTATACAGTGTAAAAGAGTAAAACACATTTTATTATATATGTATTTTTTTTTCTTTGAGGAAAACAGATGTGTGATAGAGGCTGTGGCAAAGTCTTGAAGGGATCAAAACTGGGCAAGGCATTTTCAAACCTGCAACAGAAAGAAGACACATTGGAGAGCAACAATCATCAATAGTGCCTTCAGCATCATGCCTGAGCCTCTTTGAGACAGCAGACTCGTGGGCACTAAAGACTTCAAGCTGGGTATAATCAGCCCCAGAGGCTGAGGCAGAAGGATCAGCTAGGGTTCCAGGCCAGCCTGGGCTACAGAGACTCTGTCTGGAGAAAACAAAGCAAGGGGCCCAGCCAGATGGCTCAGTGGGTAAGCATATTGTCAAGTCTCATGACCTAGTCAATCCTGGGGACTTCTCTGGTAGACAAAGATTCCTACAAGTTGTCCTCTCCACTCTCTCCAAACGCATTACAATAATGTAAAGTGGAACCTCCCTTCTTTCCCTGAAATTTGAACAGTCATGTATTTTGCTTTGTGGTGGAATCTGAGGCTGACCTTAGATTTGTTTTTTTGGTTTTGTTTTTCTTTTTTGGCTTTTCAAGACAGGGTTTCTCTGTGTAGCTTTGTAGACCAGGCTGGCTTTGAACTCACAGAGATCCACCTGCCTCTGCTTCCCAAGTCCTGGAATTAAAGGTGTGCGTCACCACCATCCGGCTTTGTAAACCTATTTTTATTGTCATTCATTTTATATTCTCAGTTCCCATCTTTTCTTGCCATCTGCCTGACAGGTTAGACTCTTGCTGTCAAACAGAAAGGGTATCCATAACAGCAGACTTGGATTCTGTACAGAGACAGGCTTATGCAACAATAATGACCTACAGGTTTTAAGGTCCAAATACAATGACTGTGTAGCTTGGAAAGGCACCAGTGAGAAAGCAAGCTGCACACAGCTCTGCAGAGCAGGAACTGACCAGCAGGCGTACTGTGCTCTGACTAATGCTTTTCTGTCTCTCCTGGTTGCTGCAATCCTAACACATCAACAGCTGCTTCCTGTAGAGAGCGGTAGGAACGCCTTAGCCTTGCAGTGACCACTTCCTGGCAGCAGCATTTCTGATTCAGAAGTGTTTATCTGGCAGGGATAAACAAAGAACTCAACCTCCTTTAGGAACTTCTCACTTTCTGCCTCCTCTGCCTTGTCTCACACTTATTGCCACTGGGGACCACATACCCTAGGATGCTCCAGTGAGGAGAATCTAAACGTGTCCATCTTTAGGCAGGCATGGTGGTGCATGCTTTTAATCCCAATGGCATAGGGATCTATTGTTCAGGCCAGCCTGGTTTACATGCGAGTTCATGGCTAGTCATGGCTACACTGTTAGACCCAGTTTCAAGCTAGTTGCCAAAAACACTTGCAAAAAGTACCTGTCTTTTCTGTTAAACCCAGATTTCGCCCAGAGTTCCCACAAGCTAAGTATACACTGCACTGGGTGGCATTTCCCTGGCTGGCTTGGGCAGAAGAGGACAGATCGAGTCACGTTTTAGGTAACAGCAACAGAAATTCTTGGTGAGCCTCTGGCCTCATAGCCTAACTCAATTCCTGACATCACTGAAGCTCACTAGTCTTAAGACACTCCTGCCTTGCTCTCCATAGAGTACATGTCACAGAAATGCGACATGACTTTCCACCATTTACAAGTTCTGCCGCCTCCTGACCCTGAGCACAGACCACAGACCCAGACTGTCCTGCACTTCCTTCCTTCTGTGGAGACTCCCAAGGCACAGCACTGGGCTCTGGGGAGAGAACAGGTCTGTACGGATCCTCCTGGTTCAGAAGGTCATCTTGGGAAAGCAGCAAGCTAGACAGTGGCCAAGACTAAGGACTTAGTGGGATGCTGCTTTCAGTGAACCTCAGGAGGGGCAGGCTTCAGGGAATGGGGCTGCCGCTGTGGCTGGCGGGGGTTGGGGGGGTGGGGTGGGGGTTAGGCTCAACTGCTGAACACGAGTCTACACTAGCCTCTGTGTGCTGTTCCAGTCAAAGCTGTCATCATTGCTGCCTGCATTGTAGCCTCGGGCAGCACTGTCCCAGGACCATCTCTTTCCCACCAACCCAGAGTAGCAGAAAATGATTCAACAGCCTCTCATATGTCTCCCTAGGTCTCTTAGTACATCCTTCAAGACTGTCTCAGGCTGTATTTCCCCCCTCACTTCATACCCCTCAGTATTTACAAACTTGTCTTTAAAAATCCACCTTTCCTAGGCCCCCCAATCCAGAAGAGCTTTGTAGAGAGAAGTCCCTACAGAACAAGGCAGGAATTATGTTGGATGCTACTTTCTTCCCCAAGACGATCCTCTACCCCAGAGGGACTAGCAGGCAGGGTAGGGCAGAATGTGTATTAGACGCCTGGGGTCTACACAGCTACTCTGAGGTACCCTGCTGTAGGAAGCTGACCCTTTGGGGGTGGGGTGGATAAGCCTCTGACTCGGACTTTGTAACACTGTTTTCCTTCCTGTACTTCCACACAGGATCTTCTGAAGTTGGGAAAGGAGAACAGAACCTATAGTTCCCTGAGCTCTCCAGAACCCCATGGAGACACAATTCTCACATGGGAAAGGAATGTATCCACACTGCCATCTATGTCCCAGACTGAGCACAAGGTCAAAATGTAGCTATTTCAGTCCCTGTAAACAAGGAAGAGGTTTAGCGCGGAATGGAGTTCAAACCTTGGAATGTGTTAACAAGGACATTTAAACAGAACCCAAAGACATCTGGGAACACAGTGCCATGGAGGGGCAATAGAGTGGGCTGGATGACTAGGGTCTGATTCTGTTTACAACTGGGGAAGGGGGTCTAGAACAACATGTAAGTGGTGTCTCAAAAAAAAAAAAACAAAAACAAAAAACAGAACCAGACAGCTAGTTGTCTGCTCTGTGTAAGCTCCTGAAAGTTGTCCTTGCATGTCCTGAGTAAGCTGCAGTGCCACACTGGAAGACATGGGAGACTGTTCTGCCTGGTACCTGACAGTATATGCAGTCACAGAGCATCTGATCATCTGGCTTTCATGTGTTAGGTTACCAGGGCACGTTGTTGACTCACAGGTAGAAGACACTTAAAGTAGAACAACCATTTGGATGACTTCAGGCAAATTTTCTCTCCAAACCAAGAAACAACTGCTTTGGCCATCCATCTGCATACACATGGCCTATTAACTTAGTGATTTTCCTCAAAGCTTAACTTTAACCGCTAATGTTAATTTTTTCCAAGTCAGGTAAGACATTTTCCTCTGTTGCCCTGACTCTATTAGGTGACAGCAACATAATTTTATACTGATCAGCTTAACCAGGTACTCATATAAGTGAATATTTAAAACATTTAAAGTGTTCCGTCTATAGTCTTCTGCAGAGACCAGTCTCCATGTATCTTCCCTGGCCATGTTTATGCATGGCTCCAGACCCTCTAGGTAGAGATGGCCTAAGGGTAGAGGGAACACTTCCCTCCTCAGCCCAGGAGTGCCTGTCTGGCGAGGAAGGCTCACATAAGCATAGGTCGGCAACAAGAACAGCTTCTACACACTCACTGTCTATAACCCATAGTAGTCTTGGGGACTGCAGAGCCAGGAGCTGACCTGTCAGTGCCATGGCATGCCCTCCTGCCCTGCTTCATCACCACTACCACCATCCTAAACATTCCAGGGCATCTGAAGCTCTGGCTTGAGCCCCTTGTCGCCTCCTGCTTCTTTATTATATAGGCCTTCTAGTATTGGGCATGCCATCACCCACTTGTGACGCTGGGCTGGTGGACCTTGGACAACTAATATCCAGTACTAGGGAGTTCAGTGGGAGAGCACTTGCCTAGGATCTTAATTTTACCCCCAGGACTAGAAAAAAAAAATTAACCCGCATGAGTGCCTATAGACTGATCTTTGAATTACGCTAAAGAAAGCAAAGCCCTTCAAAACAAACCCTATGAAGATTAAGAATATCATGGGCACTACTGCTGTGGACCATGATGAAACTAAACAGATTACAAGGCCATATAACTGAGAAGTCATCAGCTGCTCTACAGGATGTGTCATGTGTGGTGCCTTTGACAGCTTTGTGCTGCTGTGAGAAAGAAAATACATTCTACTGGTGGCTAAATCCCCAGGTGCAAGGCAGGCACAATGGAGCACATCAGATGCGCATCTTCTCCAGGAGTCAAAGAGGAGCCGTTCTCCACATGGACCACCCTAAGATCTCCTTTGTTAGTTGCCTGATCCGCTGTCCTCAGCAGCAAACTTGCCCTCTTTCTTTTTAGGCTCAATGAAATTTGCCTCCTTATTTGGGCTGAGGCATGAAGTGTTCCTGGCATTCTGTTACCAGAAGCCAAGTTCTGCAAAGTCACCGAAAGCTGCCGTCTGAGGTGGCAGCGAGCAGGTCATCTATGGTAGGGTACATTCTAGTTTCTTTTACAGACTGCTACCCAGGGCCAGGTTTGGTGGCACACACCTGTAATCTCAGGACTTTGAAGACCAGGGGAGGAAAATCCCAAGTTCCATATGTTGCCCGAGCTACATAGTGAGACCCTCTTCAAATCAATTTAAACCAAAACTAACATCATGATAGCTACTACTAACTGAAAAAGACCATCCAGAAAAGCCCTGTGACATGGAGGAACCCCTGGAGAATCCTACAGAATTAGTTTAGCTACACTCGCTCTAATTTCAGGAGAGGCTGAAATTTGCCCTCCAGTAGAGAAATGGCTTCTTTATACTTAATATAATTGGAAGTCAGCTAGTGCAGCTGTGTGACATACACTATGCCTCAGATTCCCAACAAATTGCTGATTTGCAAACTAAGATTTGGGAGCTGAAAGGGAGGAAAAAGCTTCATTTTATGAAATTCCCTACTACTGGGGTAACCAGACATAAATGGAGCCAGCTTGAGTAGGCCACATGTGACTTGCAAACAGGCATGGTGGCATATATGTTTCCCAGTACTTGAGAAGCAGGAGAATCAAGACTGAGGATAGCCTGGGCTACATAGTAAGGTGCTGTTTCAAAACAAAAAGCACCCACCAAAAAAACCAAACTGCCTGTTGCTGCCCTGAAGTGGTTTGTGGCTGGGAGTCACTGGACAGGGTAGTATGGATATACCATAGGCCCACGCAGACAGGCTGTGGTTCCAGGAGATACTGGTGCCCACCCTGCCCACACTGGTTGCCGCCTGACTTTGGCACTCACCAGCAAGCTCCAGTTTTGTAGAATGGCTGGATGACAGTCGCCACCAGTGAAGATCTCATTAATACCCCCAAGACAGATTGCAGCCGCCACCACACACCCGAGACCTGGGTGGACAGAGAGATCTGTTAACTGCACATGGCAACCTTTTCTGTGGACCTCATGCTGCCCTGGGTCAGGACGACCAGCCTGTTCTTTTAAGGAACGGATCACAGCTGCCACTGCAGGATAATCTTGGAAGGAGCACAGAATGCAGGCAGGAATGTGGTCTGGGGACTTGGAACAATGTGACAGGTTATCAGGTCAGAGGCAAGGGCAGTCAGAGAAATCACTGCGGTAGAAGCTCAAACACTGGAAGCTGCCTGTTCCAGCCTGTGGAGACTGTACCTCAAATTATGGTGTGAGATTCCAAGGACCCTGCTAGGCCCCCCAAATGCCATCCCAAAGTCTGCCAGGCAAATTATTAGATATGAGGCCCCACACAGACTCAGGATGGCTACCAGTTCCGGGGACTGCCTCAGACTAACAGTTTTGGACAGAGCCCAGGAGAGCCCAGCCCTGTCACGTCCAGTAACTAAGCTCTGCAATGAGTAGGACATATCTGACTGTCCTGCGATGCCCAAGGTGCTGAGAGTCATGCCATCCGAAGTTGCAGAGACCTGGCCGACTCATCGATAATACACCTGGCAGTGGCTGCTGCTGGCCCAGTGGGTTTCTACAAAACTCTTCCTCCCGAAGGAGCCCAGCTCCATGGCCATGAACAGCAGACCCTACTGTAGTGTTTCTGCTTTCATGAGTTCACTGCTGACTGACTTCCTAGAGTCAGGCTGTCTCTAGCTTGCAGGGGCCTGATGCTCTCTCTGCTGAAGACAGGAGCGATCACACCTTGTGTGGAATGTGCTCTTCCTGGAATTCGGGGTGGGTTTGTAGCCTTCCTAATATACCTGTCTTATGAGAATAAATGGGTGAGACTGCACTACAGAAACATTTAAACAGGGTAGGTTATTAGAAGATACCTAATCTCCCCCAATCTCTGTCACACTCCCACAGTGACCAAGGGTGCCCCCCCCCAAGGCTGGCTGTCAATAGCAGCCCTAGAGTGCCTCCCGAGGCTGCTGTGTTTTCAGATGCCTAGTGCTGCTGAAGTCACTGGTGGCTTCCTTCACGACTTCTCATGATTTCTGAGCTTGCTAATCAGGACTAACTTCTTACTCCATCATCACCCTCCTCAGGACCCTATAGTTACTGAATATTTACTGTTAGGAGTTCACGTGTGATCTTGATAAAGTAGAAACAGTCACAAGAACTACACTGGCTTCTGAGTATACTACAGTAGGGAGCACAACACTGGTGTCTTCTAACGGAGAGAGCAGGGGTGATTGCTGGAGGCAGACTAGGCTGTTCCTCGCAAAGAAGACGTAGGCATAAACTGCCACAAATTCCAGCCATTTTATCTCCTGTTATTTCCTCTATAGTTTGGTGAAGCTATAACACACATGCTCACAGTTTCTATGCCATGGATGAAAGCCAAGAGAATTTCACAAGTTCTTAAGAATATTATCTCATCCCACACCAATTCCCCAGCTCCACAGAAGACTTGTTTAACTATATTTGGATATCCAACAAGGAAAGCCATCACTGTGTTACTTGTAAGGAGCGACAGAAAATGTTCTCTTGCTCTTGGTGGAGCTGGGAAATTGATAACTTTTGAAACATTGTCTTTCAAACACTATAGTTCTCTTGTCACATGGCTGGACCATCACCACAAATCTAGTGATGGGGTGATCATGTAGACAGACTAAACATCACTCATCCATGACTCTGTGCCAAGCAAACAACGTCAGCATGCTCAGGCCTCTGGCTCCTCTTCCAGAGGTCTTCCTCACACCACCAGTGAGAGCAAACCCACACACCCTTCTCCAGGCTGAGCCCAGGGCATCTCCAGCTATGGGATGTATACTGTGTCCACAGGGCTCCCCATGAGAATGTAGGGCACAGCAGATAGAACCCACATTTACACAGAGAGTAAAGCACTAGGTTAGTTTATATCTTTAGTTTCGTCACTTATGTTAGCACTAAGAAATCAAAGTGGAAAACTAGAGATCCCTAAGGTACAAGGCACAGTGCTGCTACCTGTAAACACTTGGAAGCCAGAGGCAAGATCACAAACCCAAGACCAGCCACTACATTAGACCTGTCTCAGAAAACCAAACACACACCCAAGGCCTCTTCTGGAGTAGGCCAAGGACTGTTGAGATTTGAAGGACAGCATATAACACTGTCTGGCACCCTCCCTGCCTCACTCTCCATCCCAGTACCATCTTGTGTGGTATGGACTTGGCCACCTGGCCGGCACTGGCCTTTCTGACATGTGCTTTGGTCTCTTCTGTTTCTATTGGCTCATAAGCACCATTGTATCCAAATCTGTTTTACATCCCCCGACTTCCTAGTTTGGATTAGTGGCTGACTTGGAAAGGACCTGATCCAAGACTCTGGAAGGAGCTGGACTGGTGGCTACGCAGGCCTAGCTCCGTGTGAAAGTAATGGGCACTGCTACCCAAAGTCCTTCTGGACTATCTCCATGTGACATGCACCCGAGACCTTCTCACACCCAGGCTAGCTAGCACTGGCCTGTGGCCCATATTCAGCTTATAAGAGATGAATTGTGTTCAAATGATGTCATGTTTGGTTCAGATCTTTCTGTGTGTTGATGGCAGCAGTCCCTAGCCCTGCTTTGGTAGCTGCTGCCACCACTGGGGACTGACAGCCACCTTAATGGGCCTGTGAAAAATAAGGATTTCAAGAAAAAACATGAGCAAGCTTGTACAAAGTGTAGGGTCTTTTAAACCAGAACACATATAGTCGCTTTAAAATGTGTTTCTTCCTTTAAGCATATATAAACAGTAAACAAAATGAAACAATAGGAGAGGCTTTGTACTACCATCATTTGCCAACTTGCCCACCAACTGAAATTAGTGTCCCCAGAGCACTGCTGGCAGAAGCCAGATGGCTGTCTTGCCACTCGGACTCCACTACATGCATGCCTGCCAGGTGGTAGCCCCCTGACCCAGGCCAGGAGCACACTGGGAAACACTGATCTTCCATCACCAGGAGGACTCAGCAAGTGCGTCAACATTCAGCATTGATACTGACCCATCACCATCTGAGCCTCTGGGTCAAAGGCTGCCGCCTGTAGGAACTCTCTTTTCTCCTCGGGAAGGCAAGGCTAGCCCCATAACCCACTGTTCTACTTCCCTTTTCCACGAGCACCCACAAACATGTCCAGGTAGAACTTAAGCCACCACAGGCTTAAGTTACCATAGAAGTAAGAGCTTGTCACTGTCAACATCAGGTCCCACCATGTTACAGAATTCCTTCTGGTGCCCTGTGCTTAATCAGAAGTTCAGTCAAGGCACCAAAATATAGAAGGCATTTGTGGTTTTGTTTTTGAATTTACAAGAAATAATTAATCTGATTGTTGTCTGAAGCAACGTTAGGCCTAAGCTGGCACAAGGATGCTCATTTAGGACACTGTTTATAGCCACACCTAAGGGTAGGCCCCATAACCAGTAGTTGGCCAACACAAAAACTCAGTATTATTTCTGTAGACTTTTTGTCATACTTCTTTGGGCATTTTGCTTACATATTATAGTTTCTGATTTTACAGGTTTTGTTTTTGTGGATGTGTGTTTCTTGAGCTTTTTCTTTTTGTCTTGTAAATTCTGGTTTTCTATTGGGTGTGTGGGGAGGGAAAACTGATCAGAATCTAGTGTACAACAATTATTTTTAAATAACTGAAAAAATGTATTGTTAAAAAGTGGACTGGAGAGATAGCTCAGTGGGTAAGAGCACTTGCTGCTCTTGTACAGGACTTGGGTTTGGTTCTCAGAACCCACATGGTGACTCAACACCTGGTAACTCCAGTTGGGAGGGGTGTAAGGTGCCCTCTTCTGGGCTCTTGAGGCACTGCATGCATGTGGTACACATGCATGTAGGTTAAAAAAAACCCATACATGTAAAGAAATTAAAAAAAAAAAGATTTTAAAATCTCAAGGCAAGCCTTGGCAACAGCAGCAAATATATAAATCATTGGGTGGTTGTGGCACACACTTTTAATCCCAGCACCTTGGGGGTGGGGCAGAGACCAGCCTGGTCTACAAAGTGAGTTCCAGGATAGCCAGGGCTACACAGAGAAACTCTGTCTCAAAACAAACAAACGAAATCTTCATTTGAGTGGCTGATGTGTCCTCCATATTGGGAAGGGTTTTGTTTAATGCTGGGGGCAGGTAAACTACAGCTGAGTCATCAAACTTTCTGATGCCTGGTCTGTAGACACCAGCACTGCTGATTACTTATGGGATGGGGCAGTCAGGACTTTGATTCCCGAGTGACACTCTTCCTCCTTTTTCCATGCCAGGTGGAAACGCTCAGGAGAGGTGCCCACGTCTCTCTTGGATGGAGGAAGCTACTGACTATAGACATCTACCATGTGTGGGCCAGGTGTACCAAACAGCCCCAGAGAAGCCAAGTACTCACACAGCCTTCAGCAGAACTGTCTGGACTTCCAGCCCTGAGAAGTAGCCTCGGAGGGAGGGAGCCAGCGCATCTGAAAAGACAGGAAGAGCAGTGAGCCTAGGTCCCACCTCATTCTGGGTCTTCAGACCTCCTCACACTGGCCAGGGTGGGATTTCCTGCCCAGGGCCGAGAAACCACAGCAGCATCCTGAGAGACTTTCCACGTGCTGTGAACACACCAGCCAAACTCACAGGGCAGCACCCTGGCCCCAGGGGCGGCCAACTGCCCCTCCTTTTCATGGCTAACAGGCATTAAGATGCCCAGGATGGCCCTGTGTTTAGGTTCTTCGCTTCCATATTCCCCTAGAAATCCAAGCTGGGGAAAGCTGCCTAATGGCTTCCTAAGCAAGCTAGTCAAGGGAGGCCACTTATGACTCCTCCAGCCTCGCTGGAATTGACCTTTCTCGAGAGCCTGTTCTCTCAGGACAAGGATTGGCTCCCTGGCGCGGTGGGATATAAGAGCAGGCTATGCTCACAGTGCCCCAGAGGTGCCTGGAGCCTGTGGCAAAGAGCTAAACACAGATCAACAGTAGCGCTGTCTCTCCCAGACAGCCTAACCAGCCAGACTGTGGATGCCTTCTCCACCCGGCAGAATGCTCTGGGTCCCATATCAAGCAAAATGTGGACAACAAAAAAGACATCTGCTTTGCATCCTTAAACCCCCCACACTGACAAGACCACTTTGTGCACAACCTGCTGGCCAGAGGGAATGCCTGTTTACCACTGTCCCTACACATCTCTTTTTTTTTGCTCAGACTGGGTCTCACATAGCCCAGGCTAGCTTCTAATTTACTATGAAACCAAGATTAGCCTTGAGGGACTGGAGAGACGGCTCAGTGGTTAAGAGCACTAGCTGCTCTTCCAGAGGTCCTGAGTTCAATTCCCAGCAACCACATGGTGGCTCACAACCATCTGTAATGAGATCTGATGCCTTCTTCTGGCCTGCAGGCAGACATGCAGAGCATTCATACAGAAATTTTTAAAAAATTAGCCTTGGATTCCAGATCCTCCGGCCTCTTCTTCAAAGAGCAGGGCTTACTCTACTTGCTGCTCTTTTATTAGGGAAGAAGGATGGCCTCCCACTGCATACAATGAGCAACACAGAAGTGCTGCTGGGGGCAGAGGGGGCGCCTGGCAAGCAGAGGCAGGAGCCATTTTTGCTGAGGTGGAGGTACAGTGTTGCCAGAAGGAAATTACAGATGACCCTAGGAAGTCCCTGGGGACTCGTGGATTTAGAGAAACTTGCCTCTTCTTCTCTTTCACAATGGTGGGATTCAACCCGTCCCAGAGTCCAGCTCAGAATGCAGATCCTGACTCTAAGGGCCGAGACGCCAAGGAGTCAGGTTAGTTCTTAACACTTTTGTCCTGGTCCCCAAGCAGTCCTCAGAGTTTCCAACTCAGGGACACCTGATAGTAGCCATGTTCCCAGGCTGTCAGTGTAGGACAGGAGGGCCACACTAGGGAACTCCGCCTACTAGGCCATCTTGGGGTAGAGAACTCTGCTCTGACTTGGGACATATGTGCCTCCAACAAAACAGAACAAACCCTTAAGGGTGGACTGTAAGCTTCTGGTATATCAGTGTATACCTCAAGGCAGCCCCTGGGCCATCTTGTATATAAGGTGTCCTCTGGGGACTGTGCCAGATGTTATCTCCAGAAAGCAGGGACCAACTGGCCAGAGGCTCAAAAACCGTGGGGGTAAAGCCACATTGCCAGAGAGTCCCCAGAGCCCCCCCCCCCCCCCAAGGTCCTGGAAAACAGACCAGTATCTTTCCCACCACTCACGGCAGGAAGAGTTGAGGGATCAGAAACTTGTCTTTGAAGACAGTCGAAACACCTACACTTGGGTCTGTAGGGCAAAAGGAGCTAAGAAAATCACAAGAAAATGTGGAAAGGGGGGGGTAGGAAGGCTAGAGACAGGAGCAGAGGGATGGAAGGGCCGGAGGCTGAAGAAACCAGTACCTACCTACCTTGGCTCCCGGCTGGTTCGTCTGAGTCCATTTGCTCACTAAGCAGAGAGCAAAGTTGGAGCTGCCTTTCTGAGTCAGCTGGGAAAGGGCAGCCTAGGGGCCAGGCCCTCAGCAGGGGATGCTGGGAACCTAAACCTAAAATGGTCCATGTGCACTGGTCAGTGTAGAGCAGTGGTGGCAGTTGTGAGGCCTGGGTGTGAAGTGAGGATGGACGGCCCTGAGGCCAACACGGGATGGTGTTCACCGAGGGACAGAGGAATGGGCTGGCAGGGGGGACAGTGCGCCGCAGGGTAGATGGCATGGGTCTGGTGAAGGTGATTGAGAAAGAGGCCTCCTTGCTGTCTGCCAATCAGCCTCCCTGGCTACCTCTTGTTCCAGTGCTTCCCCTACATGCCCATAAGCACGCACAAACACACACGCACTCCCTCAATCACACTGTAACACATTGGGAAAGATAGACGCCCAAGCTCATCCCTCTGTGGACCGTGGCTGGGCTTTGCAAGACACAGTGCTCTTGCTACCATTTACCTGTGGCACCACTGTCCAGTAGGGGGCAGCATCCACCAGCCCAAACTGTTCTTGCACCACGGAGGGGCAGTCCCAGGGGCAGAGCCAGGAGTGTGGGAGCTGGCCCAGGAAAACAAGGTGTTTTATGCTAATCACTACTATTTGGATGATGGCAAGGAGAAAGTTCACCTTTACCCCATATGGGCTGTTTGTTCTGAGGTAGCTGTTGGCCCCAGGTCACTCCTGTTGAAGTCCTGGAGGCTGCTTCTGACTCCTCATTAACATTGTGGGGGACCACAGGCCTCCCCAGACTTCCTCAAAGTCAGCTCCTCAGGAAGAGTTAAGTCTACATATTGTAATCAAGAAGAAAAGCTGGTCTCAAGGCTCATCCTGGCCATTTCTGCACTGCAGAAACATGTATATATACTCTCTCTCTCTCTCTCTCTCCCCCTCCCCCCCCTCTCCTCACAAGCCTGCATATCATTCCAGGGGATTGAGGTCCCCACGAGAACTTCTAATATAATATTTAACTAACATTAACCCTGGTTTAGTCTGTGCCAGACAGAGATAAGTGTCAAGCGTATCACAGACTGAGAAATCTAGGAACCTGAAATTTCCCCAAATAATGTAGTTGTTAAGGGGGCAGTCATTGCCCTGGGGCCACACTGTATGGATCCTACCAGCCTTTAAAACACTTAGATGAAAGGCGACATTGTCGGGAACTAATATCCCAAGTGGTGACAGACTAGATGGAGTAGCAGATACCTGGGAATAATCTGGAGAAAAAATAAAATAGCATGCTGGAGACAGTAAATACCCACAAGATACAGAATTGAAGCCCAACACTTCAATGTCACACAGAATTTATGTTTCCATGGTGCCCAGGACAGAAAGGCCTGCCTGTCTCCAGGGTGGCCCCCCGCAGGCTGAGCAGCACAGCTCTGACTCTCCCCTCTCTAGTGACCGAGTCCCACACTCACTGTTCCCTTCAGATTCACAAGGAAGCGATCACTACAGCTAATGGACATCCTTTGGTGGCTTTTTTCTCTGCTGACCACAGGGACAGGTCTAGACCTGCAGTCCCTGGGCCAAGAGGCTCAGGTCAGCCTTTTAGAAATGCAGCCACAATAGGGCCCAAGTCATTTACAACCAACAGACCCCATGATGTTTGTTTATGAATTTATTCACGTGTATGTGTGTGAGGAAGGAGGGCAGCATGGCTGAGTTGGTTTGTTTCCACCAAATGGTGGGACCCGGGGATTGAACTCAGGTCATCAGGCCTGGTGGCAAGTGCCTTTACTGTTGAGACATCTGGCTTGCATTTCAAAACACCCTCTGGGCTGCCAGCATGCACATGCTCAGATGGGAGGCCCTGCTCTTGACTTACATTTCTAGAAGCATAACTGGAACAGTCTAGAAAGGCTATGCAGCACTAAGTTTGAGAGCAACACCCCGTCCCTGGGCATATTCAATGTGAACAGAGCATGAAAAGCTCTGATATGACACGGGACTCACTCCCTGGGCTTCCTAAGGTCACCTGGCCATAGAATCTTTCTGTGGAGCTGAGACATGCCATTCTGGGTGGACCCCGGACGGTGGTGATGAGCTGGATCTAAGTGGCTGCGGTGCATTCAATGTGGTACCCAAACTTCTAGCTCTTAATGCAACTACTGTTCATTTGAAGATGATCACACTGGTGACATCCTGGTCTAGTCACTGTGGAACAGACCCCAAAGCAATCCTATCCCCTTTGAGCCTAACAGTAAAGACAGCACTTCAAAAATGGATTTTCAGGGCTGGTGGGTGGCTCAGGGGCTAAAGACAGTTGCTGCATAGACTGCTCGAGTTCGAGTCCTAGGACCTGAGAATTGTGAGACTTGTCTACAGGTAACTTATACATACAATCCTAGCACTTGAGGTGCCGAGGCAGGAGGACTGCTGCAAGTCTGAGGCCAGCTTCGACTGAATGGCAAATACCACCTCAAAATTACCAGAAAGTCCCAGCTGAGCAGACTGGTAACCAAGGTTCTAGGATCTCAAACACATCCTCAAAGACCAGCCATCCCAGGCACCAAGCATAAGCGCCGGGGGCTAACTCTCGTCCCGGGCCTCAGCCCTTCCTGGCTGTTCTGAACCTAAGTTAGGCTCCTGTTTCCAGACAGGCGTGTGAAATGCACTCTGATGTCTCTAAGTTCACCGAGACGCTGTTCTGCTTGAGGGCGCCCGAGCGTGTAACACCCTGCGTCAGATTCGGTCCACAGTGGCTGCTTGCCATCCTTATTTAATCTTGTCAGCCTGTTAATTTTTAACTATGTTTGCTAGCCAGGGCCATTAGAGGTCCCTGGGAGCCGAGCTCAGTGAGGCGGCAGAGCTCATGTACAATGTATGAAGCTTAAAGTTGGGGTGTCCCACTTTCTCACCCTGTCACTGGGTTCTAGCTATCCCCACTGGCAGCACCAGTTCTGAATAAAACATGATCCCATTTGGAGTCGATTTTCCTTTTGCTCCCACCCCGTCACAACTAGTTTTCTTTAACGCGAAAAGTTCACTTTCTC